GACACACGACACACGACACACGACACTTACAGTTACACGTGCGCGTGCAAAAGAGGGGGAGGCCACGATGACGTGGCATGAGGTGGCGCGACCGCAGATCCACGGCTACGATATGAGCTGCCTGGCATTCGTGAACGGGGCCAGCCACCGCTTCGTCTCGGGGGCCGACGAGAAGGTCATCCGCGTGTTCGACGCCCCGCGCACCTTCGTCGCCACCCTGGCCGCCATCACCGGCGTCGCAGCGGAGCCGGAGCTGGCCGAGTCCAGACCGTTGGGCGCCAACGTCCCCCCGCTTGGCCTCTCCAACAAGCCCGTGTTTGGTACCACACACACACGACACACACACGACACACACACGACACACACGCACACACCGCACACGATCTCAGATTGGCCGTCGAATGGACAGAGGGTGAGGAGCGACCGGCGGAGGCGGCCGACGGGATGAAGTTCAGGGAGGAGGCGGTGGCCGAGCCCGTCGTGCTGGGCGTGCCGCCTTTCGAGGAGCACCTCATGCAGTCCACGCTCTGGCCCGAGATCTACAAGCTCTACGGCCACGGCGACAACCTCGTCTGCCTCGCCTCCAGCCGCTCGGGCAAGCACATCGCCTCCGCATGCAAGGTGTGTGCTCGTTTGTGTGTGTCGTGTGTGTGTCGTGTGTGTCGTGTGTGTGTGTCGTGTGCGTCTGTTACTAATCGACCGCACACGGTGGTGGTTTGTCTGGTCAATCAGGGATCGAAGCCGGAGCAGTGCGGAGTCATCGTGTGGGAGACGGACCCGTGGAAGAAGAGCCACCAGGTCTACTCGCACACGCTGACCGTGACCCAGCTCGAGTACTCGCACGACGACGCCTTCCTCTGCTCGGCCTCGCGAGACCGCTGCCTCTCCATTTTCTCCACCAGCGCCGGTCCGTTCCGCCGACCACACCACCAGCTCCCTCCCCCCATCACGCAGTTCTCAACGACGCGTGCGTGTTCCGTGTGTCGTGTGTTGTGTGCGACGCGCGCGTGTTGTGTTTGTTTGTCATCACGTGACCTTCGTACAGAGGAATACAAACTGGTGGCCAAGATCAAGGCACACGATCGCATCATTTGGTCGTGCAGCTGGTCCCACGACGACGCCTATCTCGCCACCGGCTCCCGAGACAAGAAGGTTCGCGTGCTCTCTTCTCTCTTTCCCCGCTCCGCCCCACGGTTCTCATAACGTGCGAAATACTGTGTTGCGCGTGTCTGTTGTGCGTGTGTGTGTGTGTGTGTGTGTGTCGTGTGTGTGTGTGTGTGTGTGGACCGCAACAGGTGAAGGTGTGGAGAAAGGGAACGAGCGAGAAGGACGGCCAGCAGGTGCCCTCGTGGTCCCTCGATTCCAGTCTGCTGTTCAAGACAGGCGTCAACGCCGTGGCCTTCTTCCCCATAGCAGGCGAGGGGTACGCATGCTCTGGTGTGCGTATGTGCGAGTGGTGTGTGCGTGTGCGTGTTCTGAAGCACACGCGACGATGATGTCTCACGGCCGGGGGCACCACCAGGACGTGGCGGTATCTGCTCGCCGTGGGCCTCGAGAACGGCCTCATCTCTCTGTGGGTGGGCTCCCACCAGGCCGACACCAAGGGCCTGCGGTGGACTTCGCTCATCTCCGTCCCTCCCTCGTACCACCATCCTTCACCTTTCACATTGCGGGTGTCGTCACTCACCAACGTAACCAACCTTGGCGCACAGCTTGTGCCCCGTGGATACGGTCAAGCGGCTCAGCTGGCGAAAGCCCACCGCCGATGCGGCAAGGGAGCAGGCCACGTTCGACCTGGCCGTCGGTGCGAGCGACCACTCAGTGCGAATCCTGTCCTTCACCCTCCACCCTTGAATCCATGCCTTTCCAAGTATTACTTTCTTCTTTTGCCCCGATAGGCGTAAGCGTGTCAGCGGCCACCACAAAAAAATAGGTCTGTTCATTATTGCGAGTTGATGACTTGGTCTTAGAGCGCCGCCTTCTTGTTGCCGCCGAAGAGGTGGCTGAGCTTCATCGCCGCGCCCATGTTGCCCGAGATCTGTCGAACAAATCGAGCGAGGAGACACGTCAGCTCTGCTCGTTACAAATCTGGTGACCAGAAAAGTAAGTAAGCAACGACTAGTACCTTGAGGAGGCCCTTGAGGAAGGCGCCCTGGGCGTCGAGCTTGCCCTGGACGAGATCGACAAAGTCCTTCTCGGCCAGGGTGAGGGTGCAGTCGGCCGCGGCCGCGGCGCCGGCGGTGACCTTGCCCTTGGGGCCGGACTTGAGGTCCACCGTCCAGGCCTTCTTGTCGCTGCCCGACGTCACCACGAACTGGTACACGGCGTTCACCTTCTGCACGAGCGACGGGTCGGCCTCGACCCGCTTGGCGATTTCACCGAAGACGGCCTCGGCCGAGACGCCGCCGGCGCTGGCGGCGGGCGCAGGTGCGGCGGGCGCGGGTTCGGCCTCGCCGGGCACCACGTCGGTGCGGCTGTCGATGGCCGGGTTGAAGCGGTCGGCCGGGTAGGGGCGCAAGGCCTCGGGGAACCCGTGGCGATAGAGCGACACCACCACAGCACCACCTTCAAAAAAATGTGTGCTGACGTCAGCATGCGCTGGCATGGCGCCGAAAGAACGAAAACCGAAGAACAAAGAACGAAGAGCGAAGGAATGAGGGCGAACCGAGGCCGAGGTTGTGCTGGAGGGCGACCTTGGCGTTGGGCACCTGGCGCTTGCCGCACATGCCGCGCAGCTGCCAACAGAGCTCGGCGCACTGGGCGAGGCCCGTGGCGCCCAGCGGGTGTCCCTTCGAGATCAAACCGCCCGACGGGTTCACCACCCACTTACCGCCTGCGCCACCGCTTTCTTTGTCAGACGCGCAACAGCCCAACTCCACACAAGGCGCTTTGGCGAGGGAGACGGGTAGTACCGTAGGTGTTGTCGGCGGCGTCGACCAGCTTGGACGCCTCGCCCTCGCGAGCAAGACCCAGCGCCTCGTAAGTAATAAACTGTGCGCGTTGAACCACACACACACACACACGCACACGCACACAACACACGCGCACACACACACACACACACAAACGTTGGTTGCGATGCGAGGTGGGGGGAGAGAGCTTGAGAAAGAGAAGGAGAAGGAGGAGGAAGTACTTCGTTGCAGGAGAAGCAGTCGTGGAGCTCGACCACCTGCACGTCCTGCGGGCTGAGGCCGGTCTGCTGGAAGATCTTGGCCGTGGCGTTCTTGGTCATGTCGGCGCCCACGGCCTTGATGCAGGACTTCTCCTCGAACGTGGAGGGGAAGTCGGTGGCCATCGCGGACGCCAAGATCTCCACCGCCTGCGCGGTCACGCCCACACGCGCGTTAGGCGTCGTTCCAGGAAACACCACACGACCACACACACACACACACACACACGACCACACACGTGCCTGGTGCTGGAGGTTGTGCTTCTTGACGAACTCTTCGCTGCAGAGGACGGCCGCAGCGGCACCATCGGAAGTCGGGCAGCACTGCGCACCACCACCGCCACCAGCCACCGCCGCCGCGACGAGGAAGTGAGGGCAAGCAAGACCTGCCGTCAGCCCGGAACACTGCAGACTTCAACCTTGACCAAGCCGGAGAGGCGTGTGTGCTTTTACCTGGAGCATGGTCAAGGGGCCGAACACCTTGCGCGACTTGAGGATGTCCTCCATCGAGTACTCGTCCCGGAACTGCGAGTAGGGATTGTTGACAGAGTGCTGTGTGGCGTGTGTGTGTGCGCGTGTGTGCGTGTGTGTGTGTGTGTGTGTGTCGTGTGTGTCGTGTGTGCGGTGTGTGTCGTGTGTGTGTTGTGTGGTCAGAGCTAGTAGATGGCTACATTCCATTCATTCTATGTAACCATCACACAGGGGGGATTCGGGCCAACCTTGTGGTTCTTCCAGGCGACCTGGGCAAAGTGTTCGGGCTTGGTGCCGTACTTCTCCATGTGCTCCACGCCGGCGTTGCCGAACATCTGCGGAGCAAACGGCGCGTTCGTCACTCCGCGCGCCTCGGCGATCACTGTGTAGAACGGAACGCAAGAGTTGTAAGTAACCAGTGTGCATGCGTGTGTCGGTGTGTGTCGGTGTGTGTCGGTGTGTGTCGTGTGTGTCGTGTGTGTCGTGTGTGTCGTGTGTGTCGTGTGTGTCGTGTGTGTCGTGTGTGTCGTGTGCGGTGGTGCGGGTGTGTACCGCCCATGTGCTTGTCCATGGGGTTGGTGCGGTCGGTGAACTTGGAGGCGAGGGAGCCACGCTCCATCTTCTCGAAGCCCAGGGCGAGCGCGCACTCGCTGATGCCGCCCTCGATGAGCTGCTTGGCGATGAAGAGCGCGGAGCTGCCCGTGGAGCAGTTGTTGTTAACGTTGTACACGGGGATGCCCGTCACCCCAATCTCGTAGAGCGCGCGCTGGCCGCAGGTGCTGTCACCATACACATAGCCCACAACCTGTGCAAACGTGCATAGAGGATCCATTAATGAATGAATGAATCCGAAGCAGATTTCCAAACAGAACGAATTACAAAAAGATGTAAAATGAAGATGATTGAGGAAAATGGGGAGGATGCGTTACCGCCTGATCGATTTCGTCGTAGCGAATGCCGGCGTCCCAGAGGGCCTTCTTGCCGGCCACGGCACCCATCTTGGGGTAGTCCCAGTCACGCTTGCCGGGCTTCTCGAACTTGATCATGCCCACACCGACCACAAACACTCTGCGACCCATGTTGTTTGCTTTGATGGATGCCTTTGCCTCTCTCCTGATTATCTTTCGATCTGACCTGCTGTGCGAACTGCCCCGACCAGAGGTATCGCTCGTGTTCCCATAATTCACAAGGAATTTAGCCCAGATAATCGCAGCATTATTACAAATAATAAATATATATTAAAATATCGAAATTTTAAGGTGGCGATCCGAGTGCAGACATAATTTGGGACGGCAACAGAGCAGGTGCTGGACAACGAAGCGCAGGATTTCGTGATCAGAGGCGTCTGGATTCGATAACGGTAGTACCTTTTCCATCTTTCGTACAATGGCCACTCCCCTTCAGGTTCCCTGCGGCTGCCGCAACTCCCTCCAGAGCGTATGCCACCCCGCCCCCGGACATTATTCTCTGTGGATGAATGGAATGGAATGATCCGGCTCATTGTCCATTAGCCCAATTCATGCCATTAATTGCCCATGTTGAGCGCACTAATATTTCCTTGATGTGGGCGTAGTTCGGCGCGGCCGCGGCCTTCACTGTCGCGTTCGTCTGGACCTCGCAGAGCGTGCAGGTGAAGCGTAATGCCTACTTCTCCAACCTCAAGAGCGAAATTGATACTCTTAAGAAGAAGAACCACGATCTCGAGCACGAGGTTGAGCTTCTCAGTACGTCACCCCCCCCCCCAATAAACTACGCAGTTACCCATATCGTGGGCGTTCAATTAATTGAGCCCCTGCTCTTTCGCATTAACAGAGAACCCCCCTGAGCCCAAGGAGGCCCACACCGACTTCGCGGCTGACTTCGAGAGCGGAAACATCGATTTTGAGAAGATCCTTGAGCAGGTGGCCAGCGACCACTAAACTTCTCCATTCGATTCGGGGTAAATCCTCAAAATGCACATCCTTTCCCTCTCATCTCGCTCTGTTTCTATCTGGGGGTGGCGCGAGAGTCAGGATGATATCACATTCTGTGTATTTATCAGAGCAGGGCGAATAAATGTACGAGGGCATCTGTTGTTACGTCTCTCTCCTCTTACGCGTCCTCTTCACCGTTCTCCTTCTCCGCCGCACTCTCGTCCTTCGCATCTTCATCAGCCTTCTCCTCCTCCTCCTTGGCCGCGGCAGCGATCGTCTCCTCCGTCTCGTCGGGCATAGACCAGCGATAGATGAACGGCTCCGCACACACCAGCGCCACATGCCTGTCGGCCACACGACACCACACACACGCACACGACACTCAGCACTCGAAGAGGCCGGGAAGACGAGAGGCGGCACGCAACTGGCAGTGGCGGGAGAAGACGCAGCCGTGTGCCGGGTGCTTGCTGCGGCCCGACTGGAGCTTGGAGATGAGCGTGCCCTCGTGCAGGTCGTAGATGAACACCGCTCCGGCGCTGTTGCCCGCGCACAGGAACTCGCCATCCTCACTGACGTCGAACCGACTTCGCGAGTTCAGCCTGCAGTCAGGCACACGGATGGTGCGCACAATCTGCGCAGAGAGAGAGAGAGAGCAGTCATTGCGTCGTAAGTGGCGTGAGCAAGAAGAAGAATCGCGTCATCACGTGATCACAAGAAGAACTGTACCTCGCTGTCCATTGCCTGCCAGACCACAATTTTGCCCTCGATGTCCTTCGAAACGTAGTGCCCACCCACAGCGCGCACGCAATCTGTTCGACGTTCGTTGTGGTCCAACGATTGTCGTGAGTTGGCGCTCTGCGCCCGCAGTGGGCTGTGGTGGTCGCGACGTACCCACGTCCACTCGATGCTTCTTGGGCAGCAGCTTGCACTCGGTGATCGTTCTCCCGATCGTCTGTTGGGCAAGAGAAGGAAAACGCGTAAGCGCGAGGACGCGTACACTGCATTTGTAGAATGCTCTGTGTGGACCTTCTCCTCCTCGTCATCGAGGTACTCGCCGGGAATGGCCCACTCCCGCAGCGCTCCGCCCGAACCGCCGGTCACGAAACGAGTGCCCTCAGGTGAGAAGGTCTGTGTTGCGTGCGTTGGGTGAGCAACGAACGGCGCACTTGCGTTGGCAGAGCAAGAAGGCGGTACCGCCACGATGGCGCTGGTCTCGAAGGTGGCGAGGCAGCTCTTTTCCGGCTCGCCGTAGGGATTGCGGCAGTCCCACAGACGCACCGTGTTGTCCGCACCCACCGACAGGAGGCACCCCGATCGCTGCGGGTGCACGGCCAAATCGATCACAGCGCCCTTGTGCCCTGCGTAGGCAGCGCAGCGCGAGTAGTCAGTAGAACTGCGGTGATTGCCTTCGGTGGTGATCACGTGAAAGGAGGGACCTTGCAGGACGCAGATGACTCGGCAGCGAGCAATGCTAATGATGTGGATGAGCGAGTCGTTGCTACCGACCGCCAGGTAGGTGTCGGTGTCTTGACCCTCATCGTCAGGGTCCAGGTCGCCCAGCCACGCGCATGTGTTTAGCTCTGCTTTCTGTGGTGCCGGAGCGACGTGCGTTGCGGTTGTCAGCGCACATGCAGTCACGCGGCATACTGAAAAGGCACTACTACCTTCCCCGGATTGACGTAGTTGATCATGAGATCGAGGTGACCAGCGTTTTTGGCCACGCCGTGTTCATTGTCGTACACGCTCGCCTACAAATCAGCAATGTGAGCCAGAGTTGAGCAAAATAGCGCATGCAGTGAGATGAGGCAGGTGTTACAGGTACCTGGTTGCCTCCCACAGTAGCCACAAGGTTGGAATTGGCGAGCTTGGTGAAATTGAAGGCGATTTGCTTGATTGGCGACGCGTGATTTTCTTTGATGATTCTTCGCAGGATGAGGCGCGAAAGGACCTCCGCGGGCTTGAGATCCTTCCTAAGCTTTTTCTTTTCCGGCTGCACGGCCTCCTTCGAGTCCGCCTCCCCGTCGGCTTTCAGCTCGCCCTCCCTTGTTCGCTTCATCTTCTAGATCTGTTGTTTGTTTTGATTTTTTGCTGTTCTGCATTTTGGCGCGAAGTCTTTCTGTCGACATAGAAGAAAATGGAAACGGGTAAAGAAATTTCGACTAACCTTGCCTAATCGACAAAAGAAATCGCTGCGGTGTGCGCTTTGATTGCGAAATGGACTCGGCGAGGCGACGCCGCTATGCGGGCCTAGATGAAGAGGGTGGTTCAGAGACGGATTTTGTGGAGATTGAGGATGCCTTGCCCTGGTACAAACGTCGCTTCATCCAGGCCGTCATGATCGTTGCGGCCATCGCCCTGGTGGTGGGCATAATCCTCGCCATTGCCATCCCTGGTACCGCCCTCACCACTCACCAGTGCCCCAACTTGTTGGCTTTCGTTCCTCATCTTCCTCCACGCTGCAGTGGCCCTGAACAAGGAGTCGGACTCGTACGTACCACACACGCACACACCGTACACACAGCTCACAAACCGTACGGCTTTGGCGAAGCAGGAATGAGAACAAGCGCGTGTTTGCCTTTGACGACATCTTCAACACGACCACCGAGGGTCTCTCGCTTCAGTGGTGGTGCCCCACCACGCCGGCCGCTGCCGCCTCGTTTGTGTACCAAGGCATGCGCCCCACTCTCGAGACGCACATGAACGTTCGTTCGAATGTTCATTCTCTGATTCTCTGCAGATAAGAGCGGCAACGTCATCAGACAAATCGTGACGAACGCCACTCGGTCGTTCCCCGACGCGGCCAACCAGGAGGTGCTGTTCAACCAGACCGCGTTCGTTGCCGCGGCGCCAGACAACGCCTGGGCGAGTTCCATCGGCTCCTACTACATTTCGCCTGCCGGCGGCGACATCATCTTTGCCGTGAACCAGACTTACAGGTGTGTGTGCGACCTCACGCGCTCTCGATAGCGCACACGGCGTGCTCATGACACACACACACACACACGACACACACAACCTGGGCGCGATATGCAGGTGGAGGCACTCCTACTTCGCCAATTTCTACGTCTACAGCATCAGCGCCAAGACGGCTACGCTGCTCGATGACCAGAACCGCCGCCTTATGAACCCCGTCTGGGCGGCGAGTGGCAACATTGTACCTACTGCTCCTACCATGTGACACTGCTGAAGGACGGCAACTAATCATCGAGCCGCGCGCGCGGGCTGTGTGAACGGTGCAGGCCTTCGTGCGGGACAACAACGTCTACATCAAGGACACCGGCGCCAACACCATTCGCCAGGTCACTACCGACGGGACGCCCGGCCGGCAATCTGGTAAGACATTCTTTTAGATTGAAAGATATTATAGTATGAAGCATGTATAAAGGAAATATGTTCTTTTATATGAATATGTCCACGATAATCAACTGACTTCTGCGGTGGTGTTTAGATGGAGTCAGCATCGTGAACGGCGTTCAGTCGTGGGTCTACGAGGAAGAGGTGTTCTCCGACATGACCGGTACGTGCGTGGCCGTCAGGACGGGGGTCGTGATGGATGACCGACGCGACGACGAGGGAAACCTAAAACTAGCTAATTTCACTACAATAATAACTCATCATAACCCACGCAGCGATGTGGTGGTCGACGGACGGCGCGCACCTGGCGTACCTCAAGTTCAATGAGACGCTGGTGCCCGAATTTCTGATGCCGGTCTACGACGGCGACGCCTACCCCGAAATCGACAACCTCGCCTACCCCAAGGTACTCACCATCAGCGCCTGGCACCCGCGCCACACAAGGCAGGCACTTACGTCGGTGGTGGTGGGTGGTGGGTGTGGGTGGTGGGTGGTGGGTGGTGGGTGGTGGGACGACACAGCCCGGTTTCGCCAATCCGGAGGTGACGGTGGGCGTCTACAATGTTGCGAACGAATCGACCGCGGTGCTGGATTGGTCCGACTCGGGCAAGTACGAGTACGTGACCGGCATCTGGTGGGTCGATGCCAGCACCGTGGCCGTGCGCAGACTCAATCGCCTGCAAAACGTGCGTTCCCCACCCGTCCACTGGACGTGTCGTGTCGTGTCGTGTCCCTAACTAACGTCTTTGCAGGAGGAGCAAACGGTCCTGTTCAACGTGATCGACGGCTCTTCGCGTGTTCTCTTCACCAAGACTTCGAAGGCCTGGATCGAAACTGTATGTGGTCTCCTCGGCGGTGTCACCACACACAACACACGACACACACACGACACACACGCACACACTAGTTCACTGATCTCTTCTTAACAGCAATTCGAGTTGACCTTCCTCCGCGAGACCGACGGCAGCATTCTCTACTTTGTGGACCTCCTCGCCAACGCCAAGTCCTACCCTCAGGCACTCCACCTCCACTTGCCCCCCCGCCACAATGCGTTCCTCACATTCCATTCCATCCATGCGTGTCTCGCTTGTTAAGGTGGCGCTCTACAACTACTCGACTGGCGCCTTTGTGCGTTTCCTGTCCGACCCGACCAACAGCGCGACGTGGGAGGTCACTCGCATCAACCAGTGGCTTCCCGCAACCCGCACCCTGTACGCAGCTCTCCCCAGTCACGCGTGCGCTTGTGTTGTGTGTGTGTGGGTGTGTGTGGTGTGTGTGGTGTGTGTGGTGTGCTCATGCGCCATGTCGGTCGCGCAACAGTGTGTACACGAGCACGGAGGTGAGCGTGAATGAAAGGCACGTCTACGCGCAGTCGATCGAGGGCACCGGTTCCAGCAAGGTCAGCCCCAGCGCGGGCTGGTGGTCCGCCTCGTACAGGTATTTTACATATTTGCCGTGTCGTCGAATGCGCATTCCTCACATTCTACGCACAGCTCCTGCAGTAATCTGTTCACCCTCAACTTTGGCGGCAATGGCGACCTGTTGAACGTACGCTCCACACCTGACACACACGACACTCGACACACACGGCACGACACACACGACATGGCACACGCGCACATGTTAGGCGGACGTTGGCACTCCAACGCCCCACTCACACGGCCTCGCTCCTGGCAACAGGTCCCCACGGTGCACTTGCACGACTCTCAAAACCCGCGCATGAGCGTATCGCTCGTGGCCAACGCCCAGCTCAAGGAGAAGGTACTAACGTGTTGTGTTGTGTTGTGTTGTGTCGTGTCGTGTCGTGTCCTGTCGTGTGCGTGTTGTGTGCGGGACGGGGTGTGTGTGTGGTCTAACAAACATGTGCTATGCAACAAAAGATGTCGTCGCTGCGCCTGCCACGCAAGGAATTCTTGAGCATTCCCAACGCCGCGGGCGAGATGATGTCGGCGTCGCTCCTCTACCCGCCCAACTTCAACCGGGCCAAGAAGTACCCCGTGCTCATGCGCGTGTACGGCGGCCCCAACTCGCAAGAGGTCACGCGCGCCTACCCGTTCGGTGGTCAAAAGTCCTTCGATCTCTACATGGCCTCCAAGGTTCCTCACGTGGGCAGTGTCGTTATGTGTCGTGTGTCGTTGTGTGCGTGCGTGCGTGCGTGCGTGTGTTGTTCTGACCGTTCAACTGGAACCGCGCAGGGTTTCATTGTGGGCCAGGCCGACGGCCGAGGCACGGCAGCCAAGGGCGAAGACTGGCGACACACCGTCTATCGTACGATATCGGCGCCGATGCGCGCTTCATTGAATTGAAGAGGCCTCTCTCGCTAACTCGTGGCTCTTTGACCAAATGACAGTGAACCTGGGCACCTATGAGACGCAGGACCAGCTGGCTGCGGCCCAGCACTTTGGCAAGCTCGGCTTTGTTGATTCCTCGCGCATCGGCCTCTGGGGCTGGGTACGCCACACATTCTCAAGTCCCACGCGCCACAACGCCGCACGTGCGCGAACTCACCTGTGTGCGACGACGATATGCCAGAGCTACGGCGGCTACATGGGAGGATTCGTCGGCAGTGCGCCCGAGGCCGAGGGAAAGCTCAAGCTGACCATGTCAGTCGCCCCCGTGACCGACAGTACCTCCTGGCACACGGCACAGGTACACTTACTGGCGCTGTGCGACTGGCCAGTGTCGACGGCTTGGAAATGACCGTGTGTGTGTGTGTGTGTGTGTGTGTGTGTTGTCGTGTCGTGCCCTGTGTGTCGTGTCGTGCGTGCGTGTTGTGATCTAGCCGATGACAATGTGCACCTGCAAAACGCCGCGGAGCTGAGCAAGGTGCTCGTCCGACAGGGCATCGACTTCGAGCAGATGTACTACACCAACTGTATCCTTTTCCCCCAGCCCTTCTCCCTCTATTCCAGTTCTATGCGTGTCGTGTCGTGTCGTGTGCGTGTCGTGCGTGTCGTGTCGTGTCGTGCGTGTCGTGTCGTGTCGATCATGGTTGATGCTTCCTTGACCACACGTGCCCAAGCCGATCATTCGATCAACGCCGACAACGCACGCCGCCACCTCTACCACCTTCTGAGCCGCTTCGTTATCGACAACCTGTGAGGTGAGAAGTCATAACACCTAATAAACATAATAACTGCCCTCACCCTGCAACAAGAATGGCTACTGGTCGTGGCCGTCATTAAGATCGCCGCCATCGCCGTCAGCGCACGAGCGCGGATAGCTGTCAAGGATGTGGTGGTAGCGCGACAGCAGTCGACGACAGGCGCTCTTTCGCTCGGGATCGCTTCTGATCTGGTCGGCCAGGTCCTCCGGCCGCACGCACGCCACCAGCGCCACAAGAGGTGGACGCTCTCGTTGAGGTCGTCGTCGTCGGTCGCGGGGAGGGTGACGCAGCCGGCGATCAGGTAGAAGGCCGTCGGCCACCGTGTCCGCGCGGCGGCGTGGTGCAGCCAGCAGCGCGACCGTGCCGGCCGCGTGCCCGAGGTGCGCTTGGCAGGCCTTGGACGGGGCGCGTTCGGGGTGCATGGCACGGGCCACTTTGGCCCACGACTCTGGCAGCTCAGCTCCACGCGCTCGATCAGGGCATCGAGCAGCTCCGGCGTACGACCAAAGCCAACACAGCGCCCGCGTACACAAACCCGCGCATACCGGGTATGCGTGGGTTTGCTGCTGCTGCTGTCACGTGTTGGGAGAAGGAGGGGAGCAACGGCAGCGGTACGCACCGAGGGGTGAGCAAGCGACTCAGCAAACTGATGCCAGCAACGACACACGTTGTAATTCCAAAAATGTTTTTATTTTTCGGGCTGAAGACGACAAGGCCAGGCGAGGACACTTAGTCGTCGAACTTGATGCTCGAGACCATGCCGTCGTTGATCTTGCCGCCTGTGTGGCCAACCAAGAAAAGAACGGGGACACAACGACGTCGACCAACGTTAGCGATGCACACGTGTGTGCAAGAGCGAGGAGCTCGAATTCACGCACCCTTGTAGGAACCCCTCTTCTTCTTGGTCTTCTCGTGCCTGAAGCCCTTGCCTCGCACCGTGCTCAGCACAGAGTTGGCCCTCGCGCCCCACTCATCCTCCTGTTGGTGTGTGTGTGTGTGTTGTGTGTGTGTTGTGTGGTGTGTGTGTTGTGTGGTGTGTGTGTGTGGTGAAAAAACAACACACAAAGTGTTTGGCCAATGTTAGATGGTGAGCGACGCGCGTGTGCGGTGTGTGCACGTGCCTTGGAGAAGAACGAGTTGTCGGACAGCTTGGGATCGACCTCGATCTCGTCCTCCTTGATGCGCTTGAAGGGAATGTTCTCCTTCTTGCTCTTCTTGCTGCTGCCGTTGCCGTTGACGACGGGCGCGGCCGGCTGCTCCACCTCCATCTTATCCTCCTCCTTCTTCTTGGGCTCCTCCTTCTTCTGTTCGTCCTTCTTCTCCTTCTTCTTCTTCTCCTTCTTGTCCTCCTCCTCGGACGACGAGTCATCCGACGAGCTGGACGACGAGTCATCATCCGACGACGACGAGCTGGACGAGTCATCCGATGACGACGACTCCTCCTTCTTCTTGTCGCTCTTCTTCTCCTTCTTCTTGTCCTCCTCCTCGGACTCAGAGTCGGAGCTCGACGAGCTGGACGAGGAGTCATCATCGGATGACGAGTCCTCCTTCTTCTTCTTGTCGGCCTTCTTCTCCTTCTTCTTGTCCTCCTCCTCAGACTCAGAGTCGGAACTCGACGACTCGTCCTCGGACGATGACGACGATTCATCGTCAGACGACTCCTTCTTCTTCTCCTTCTTCTTCTTGTCCTCCTCCTCAGACTCAGAGTCGGAGTCGGAGTCAGAGCTGGACGAGGAGTCATCATCGGACGACTCCTCCTTCTTGGCCTTCTTGTTCTTGGTGGCCTTCTCCTTCTCCTTCTCTTCCTCGGAGTCAGAGTCGTTCCTCTTCCTCTTCTTGCCCTCGCTCACGTCCGCGGGCTTAGCGACCGTGGTGCTGTTGTTCGCGACACACACAAGATGGGTGAGTGTTTTTGTTTTTTTCCATTTAAAAAATGGAATGATTTAACCAAAAAAAGATTCTGATTATCGGCCTCTTCTGATCTGATCACCGAATTTGTACAAAATCATAAAATCCGTTGACAATTATTTGGAGAGTGGCCTGAAGATCGCTGTTGTAATGTGAATTTAATCATTTTTGGGAGATGGTACCCTTTGGAAGCAAGGTAGGTCTTGAAGACATCCATGAGATCGACATCGGAAGTCTGGCTCTTCTGTTGGTTTCAAAGAAGAGGCGAAGTGTCAGTCACAATCGCCAAAATTGTACAAAAATTTCAATCTAATCATACCAGGTTGGCCTCCTTCCTGAGCTTCTGGGCGGCCTTCTTCTTGCCGTTGGCCTCAAGGAAGCTGATCACGATGGGATAGAGATCGGAGGGAGTCGTCATGGCTGACATGATCGTGTGTTGTGCAGAAGAATGGGCAAAGAGATGAAGACAAGTCCGGCGAGCAAAAGGCAAGAGCGCCGGAGAAGAAAGGAAGAAAATGATAAAGTCCGAATAAAAATCAAATTTCAGAAGCAATTAAATATTTGTTTATCTATTGCAGAAGAAAACCGGAAGCGGAGCGATTGATTGTTCGATCATCATCGCCAATATTGCTCAATTGCTCTTGGTTTGATCTGATTGCTTGAAGTACAAAATGAGTAAATCATCGCTGGAGGAGATGTTGGAGGAGTACCTCAATCCTCGGCCCAAGAATGTCGAGGCGGCGGAGGACGTGATCGGCGGTGGTGCATCCATCATGCCCTACCACGAGGACTTCCAGGCCGAGAGCGCCTCCAAGGGTACGCTCTTCCTTCAACTTCGAAATCACTAGAATCACCTTTCTGCATCTCGCTACACAGATTCTACGTGATTTTCTTTTTTCCATGTCTTGTTGATGGGATGCTGCGTGTGTGCATGTGTGTCGCTGCGCGTGTCACGCTCCTCCTCTAAACGCTTGTCCATCTATTATGCCACAACAACAGGCAAGGTGCTGAGGAAGTCAGTCAAGGAGGCCCTGCCCTTGCGCGCCTCCGACCTCTCCATGGGCACGCGCTACCACGGCAGCAAGGTACAGCCCTTGCCCACGCCAGCTCGCGCTGGCCGACATCGCTTACAGTGAACCAACCCGCGCCCTGCGTCCGGCCTGACGTCAATGCACGTTGCCTGATGTGGTGCTCAGGTGTCGCGCAAGGACCTCGAGGAAGAGGGCTGGGAGGTGGAGGAGAGCTCCGCCGAAGAAGACGACGACGACGACGACGATGAGGAGGAAGAGGAAGAGAAGGCCCAGAAGCACCCGTTTGATCATGAGGAGGATGGTGAGATGATGGAGGACGAGGACGAGGACGACGATGAGGAAGGCGCGTCCATGGGTGCTGGTGACGAGAATGATGATGAGGCTGACGAAGACAGCGAGGAGGAGATCGAGATCGGTCGAGGCGGCAAGATCGTCATCAAGCAGAAGGGCGCCGCGACCACCTCCTCGCCAAACAAGAGAAAGCGAGCCGAGAATGACGATGATGGCGAAGACGATGACCAAAACGGAGATGAGCTGGACGACAGCGAGGGCGAATTCGACGATGAAGGCGAGGACGACGACGATGACATTGAAGGTATGGACATGATGAGCGAGATGCAACAGGAGGGCGAAGAGAAGCTGGAGAAGGAGCTGCAGAAGCTCAAGGAGGAGGAAAAGCGCGCCGTCACATCCATCAGGTAACACACACACACACACACACACACGACACACACAATTTGTGGTGCCTGCTCACCACGCCCTCTCCCATCGCGACGCGTGCCACAGGTCGGACAACCGCAAGGAGCTCGAGAAGGCCATTCACACGAAGAACCAGAAGCTGCTGTGGAACAGCTTCATGGAGATGCGCATTTCGTTTCAGCAGATGCTCACGCTGGCCAACAGGTACCACAACAAGCACTCCACCGCCCGACCACTCCCACTCAGCTCCAAACTGGTGATGACGTGGCGCTGACGTTGGCATGTGTGTGCTCACCAGGCTCCCACACCCGAAGGCCTACTCGCTCTTCATGTCCCCCGCCGCCGCGCTCGGCGAGAAGAAGTCGCAAAAGCGACAGAGCAAGAAGCATAAGAAGAACGAAGAAAACGAAGACGACGAAGAAGACGCCGAGGAGAACGAAGAGAACGAGGAGGTGGACGAGGAGCAGGAGGGCAAGAGCCAGAAGCTCAAGGCGGGACTGGCCGAGGCGTCGTCTTCGCTCGCCTCGCTTTTCGATGGCCTCTTCTCCGCGAAGAAGACGCTGCTCGCCGGCAACGATTCGTTTGCGCCGGTGTTGGCCGACGCCAGCAAGCACAACGACGACGACGACCATCTGACCCTCGGCGAGAACGGGGAGGCCAACGGCAGTGGAAAGAGTGTGGAGCCCAAGTGGGAGGAGTTTCTTGCTGTCGAGGTACGACTCAATTTCTCTCGAGAATTTGTATATTCAGCTGCGCGCCCTCTCCCTTCGATGGAGGTAGTGGACTGATTGGCTGTTGTGCAGGAGAACCTGTGGAAGAGGACCGACGAGGTGATCGACAGATGGAACAGGAAGACGATGCTATCGCAGGGCATCATGCAGAAGGAGTTCAAGGCCATCAACCGGTAACAATCGCGCGCGCACGCACACACCCCCTTCCCACCCTTAGAGTGGGAGACTGATCGTCGCTGGCCAACACAACAGAACGGTGCTCAACCAGATCTCGCAGTTGATGGCCGACCAGCACCGGTTGGTCAAGCGCACCCAACTGAAGCGGTCGTCGGCCAAGGTGATCGGCGCTGCCCTTTACCCCCAAAAGCCCAAGGTTCGTCCCGACGCGTAAGATCCTTCGCATCAAAGTCTCTCACTGACGACGCACACGCACACACACGCACGCACACGCACAACAAAACACAGGAGGAGGAAGCTGCAGCTCCCGCACCGGACGGCGTGCCCGAAGATGGAAAGAAGAAGAAGGAAAGGGAGGAAGAGTACGACGAGGAGATCTTCGATGACTCCGATTTCTATCATCAACTGCTCCGAGGTGCGTGATCGGACCCGATCCGTTTGCGTGACACGCCCCCACACAACTCAACCCAACTCTTCTTTTCTTTTCTTTTCTTTTCTTTTCTTTTCTTCACCGTGTCCAGAGCTCGTGGAAAGCGGAACGGCGAACGTGACCGATCCCATCGCGCTGGGCCGAAGTCACGCCCAGCTGCGCCGCATGCTTCGGAAGAACAAGAAGAAGGACGTCGACCAGAAGGTTCGCACGTTTTGATGTCCGCTTAGGTCGGTGATCATCAACCCCAAAACTAACACCACACACACGACAACAGGCGTCCAAGGGCAGGAAGCTGCGATACGACGTGATGGCGCCGCTGGTGAACTTCATGCCGGCCATCACCACGACCCAGCAGGTGACGCCCATGGCCGAGGAGCTCTTCTCCCACCTCTTCTCCTCCTAGAGTTTTGTTTTCTCTTTGTTTTTTTTTGGTTATTAATGCAAGAATTCGAGCAATGCCTTGTTTTTTAACCATAATTGGTAACTGGCGGACGTGGCCTTGGAGTTCGCAACGCTTTGTCATAGACAAGAGACGAAGAGATGGACGTGGGGCTGAAGGAGAAGCAGCCGCAGGCGCTGAGTCTGCTGGGCATCCCCGTGGGTCACTTGCCCCAGTTCGTCCAGCTCTTGATCTGCGTGGGCGGCGTCTTCTTCTTTCACATCTGCCACGGCTACCTTCAGGTACTGCCAGCCTACACGCCATGCACATAAGCCCGACCTACCAGGTTCGCCCCGCCCTGCTCACGGTTGGAGGGAGCACGTGCCCACGCAGGAAGCGATATTCAAGGTTCCGGGGTACAAGTACGGCCTGTTCCTCACGCTCTTCGAGTTGTTGGCTTTCATGCTCTTCTCCGTCTCCAGCGTCAACGTCTTCTCTAACGAGCGAAGGTTCGTCTTTTGTGTGTGGAGAGCAAGCTTTCCCTTTGTGTCTTCGACCTATGCTTCACAACTGACGCGTTTCTTGGTGCCCTGTCGTGCGTGCGGCAGGACGCCCCTCCGCTACTACTTCATCTTGTCCCTCCTTCTCTTGCTCACCACCGGCCTGGGCAACGCGTCCCTGGGCTACCTCAACTATCCGACCAAGGTAAGTGCACACCACGCACCCAGGGTGTTGGATTTACGTGGTGGCCGCCTGAGTCTGACGGCCGCGTCATACCGTTGTGCGCGGTCTTGCCGAGCGCAGGTGATTCTACGATCGGCCAAGGTGATCCCCGCGATGCTGTGCGGGCTGCTGGTCATCCAGAAAAGGTCGGTATTGCAGAAGTTCATCTCTGCGAGTGCACAGGCTCACCAACGCTCGGAGCAGCTACACACTTGCCGAGTACTGTGGGGCTGCGCTTGTGAGTGCGGGTCTCGCCCTGTTCACCCTCGCGGACAGTCAGCTGAGCCCCAATTTCAACGTTATTGGTACGCGCACCCTTTTCCGCCGATCTGGCCCTTCTTTTCTTTGACAATGGCGTTCACGGCAGGACTGGCTATGGTCATGACCTCGGTCCTGTCAGAAGCACTTTTGTCCAACTTCCAAGAGAAGATCCTGAAGAACTTTGGCAGCCCCCAGTCTGAGATGGTACACCAAAGCCAACCCATTCCTACTAAGCTGTTTGTTTTGTAACTGACATTGTATTGGCAGGTCTTCTACTCCAACTTTGTGGGCTTTGTGCAGATATTGGCAGTGACCATCTTCTCAGGGGAGCTTGTCACAGCCATGGAGTTCTGCATGCAGAACAAGGGCACCTTGGGACTGGTCATGATGGAAGCAACAATGGGCTACTTTGGTGTTTACTTCTACCTAGCCATCATCAAGAGGTAATCTCTTAGCTCACTCTTTGATTTTGTGAGGTCCTCACCTAGTATTCTCTCAGGTTTGGAGCAGTGGTGGCAATATTTGTGGCATGCTGCAGGAAAGTGGTAACCTTAGTGTTGTCCTTCATCATCTTCCCAAAGCCAGTACTTCCCCTTCACCACTTACCTAAATTCATGTCAGATTTACCTGTCCCTCCTGCACAGTTTACATGGCTCTACCTCTTATCAGGGATCATGGTGTTCTCTGGCTTTGGACTCAACACTTATGTAAGTGCTGGCCCTCAATATTTGCCACTTTTACTAATGACACCCATGCACAGGTAAACAATGCACAGTGGATCCATGACAAGTTGCAGGCTTGGTTGGAACAAAGGAAGGGCATCAACCAGGAGGAGTGGGAGTGACAACACTAACCAACTGTGAACACAGCTCCACATATAAATAAACATTACTTATCTTCTGCAGCAAAGATGCAGCAGTGTGGTTTCTACGACATTTCAGCTGTGCGAAGCTGATGACGGGAGCTTACAGTATGTTGTCGACGCTTCACCAGTAGTTTAGCTCCGTCGGACATAAACTCCTTCCGCCTAATTAACTGTGCGACCACTGCCCTGGTTTGGGGCGCACGCACAGACGTTTTCTTTGTTGTTTTTCTACCTGGGTCCCAGCCAACACATCGACTCTGCCCTTTGCTTCGGCTTCTCTTTCTTTCCCTTTCAGTCATCTTCTAGCGCACCTGTAGTCGGACTTACGGGTGTCGCCGCAACTAGCCACTGAAGCAGCAAGAAGAAGATTAACGACAACTCGCCGTCCTTCATCATCGAGGTTTAGAGCAACATCGCGGAAGCAAGGTAATAACATTAATATTAAAGAAAGAAGAAGAAGGAAGGATGTTGAGCACCGAGGACAGCATGCTGTGCATCGAGAGGTTCAGGGCGGTGGAGCACGCTGAGGAGGAGCCGATCGGCAAGGCTAAGGAGTGCAGCGGTCAGCACCACCTGGAGGGCGAGAAGGACGAGAACAAGAAGAAGCACCACCACCATCACAACGGCGATTACATCGTAGACGATGATGGCGCCAAGATCGAGACCCTCATGGCCGACGTCGAGATCAGCCTCACGGACGACGAAGTGCGAGAGAAGGCGGCCTTTGACGACTTCGTTCAGAAGATCGACCGCGAGACCCCCAAGACCGACATCATCAAGAGGCGGCACGAGAAGAAGACCGAAAGGAAGGCCAGGAAGGAGAAGAAGAAGGTAGCGAAGCAGATGATCATCAGCCGCGCGCTGCAGACCCCCTCAACCCCCGCCAAGCGCTTCCCGACCCTCCTCGTGCTCGATCTCGACGGCACCCTCGTCCACAGCGAGTTCCAGCGCCGAACCTACCAGCAGCACGACTTCTCCCTCTTCAACGAAGAGATCTTCGTCTACAAGCGACCCTACCTCGACTACTTCGTCTCCACCATCCTCGAGTGGTTTGACGTCGCCGTCTGGACGGCCTCAGGTAATACATCTCACCGCCTCCCTTCCTCCCCTCTTGTTGGTCTTCTCCTCTGCACCGGTTGTCTCGGTCTCGTCGTTTCATCTCTGGCCTTTTCGTTGCTTCGTTCTTTCTACGCAACGGGATGCGCGTTCAATTCAATTCTAAAATCTGATTAATGCGCCCGTGCAGGCTGCGAGTATGCTGCAGAGATCGTGCGGCACGTGTTCCCGGATCCCTCGAAGATCTCCTTCCTCTTCTCGAGCGAGAGATGCACTAACAAGTATTGCCCCGCCACTGGCGAGGTACGGCCGAGCTCTCCCTCATTCTTTGAAGAGATGAAGTGCTGAGATTTTCTCTCTTCTCTCAATCTTGCAGCGTATCGTGATCAAAGACATGAAGAAGGTGAAGCGAAGAGGTTACGATCTCAAGCAGGTCCTCATCGTCGACGACACGCCCTCCACCTGGCAGAGGAACTACGGAAACGCCGTCCATATTGAGTCCTACTGGGGAAGCCGCATCGACGACCATCTCCTTCACCTCCTCACCTACCTCGAGTACCTCGGCCACCAGGGCGACGTCAGGCGTGTGGACAAGAGGAGATGGAGGAACCAAGTCCTTGGGTCGATGATCCCTGCCTCCTCCACCACGCACCCGACACAGCCCGCTGCCGAGGATTCGGACAGCGATTGAGATTCAGCGGCAGCCACAGTCAGAGCTCGATGTATAGAAGTAACGTTATTGCACATGCGCCGCTACTGCGTACGCTCAGAGGAGAGCAAGAACCTCGATGGATGTTTAGATATCTTGCTGCTTACATGTCAAATACATGAACATATTTATTTTATTTTATTGTCCCTTTTCTCTTGCTCTGCCTTCCAGTTCCCGCCTTTTTCCCGGCCCACATCCGAAACACATCACAACGTTGCAGAGGCCACAGATGGAGCCCACACATGACCTTCCGCCGCTCGAGGCCGAGCCTGCGCAATCGCGAGGAGGAACGATCATTCGAGTCAAGAGGAAGCGAAATGAGCAGCCTCTCGATGCTCTCGGTACGAAATTTGTGGGATCTCCTTGATTATGATTTTGCAGTGTGATGGACTCTCATCTTCCTCTCATCATCTCGCTACTGTAGTCATTGTGGGCATGATGCCACCCTCCAAAAGAGCGGCGTTCGATGCGCTCTCCGCCGCTTTCGCGACTCTCTCCACAAAGGCAACGACAGGAGCTCCTGCACAGCCAGCCTCCGCGGAGCAGGCCGCACAACCGACACGGCGCCTGTACAGACTGGCTCACACTGTAAAGAGCACCAAGGAAGCTGAAACCAAGACGGCGCTGGTGCGTACCTTCTTCCATGACCTTGGAGCTTTCCATTGCTTACTCTTTACGTTGCGCTCAATATATCAACACTCTGCTAATGTACACCGCCAACACCAACAGGACAGGATCGAGGATATCAAGCAAAAGCGCAAACGCACTATCGAGGTGAGCAAGGAGGAGAAATCTAAACAGGTCGTACAGCAGAAGCACGAGCAGACACGAACAGCACGTCTCAAAGTGGTGGAGCGACATCGCACGAAGGCCGGAACAATCGTCGACGTCGCTGTGGAGCGGGAGAGCGGGACGGAAACGGCGACGAAGATGCCTCCGCCCGTCTACATCAAGCCCGCAGCAAAGGCGGTCACAACGCGGAAGCTGCCATCGGCGCGCAGACAGGGCGCAAGATTTACGCCCAACCTCGCGGCGGCTAAGACCCAGGAGCAGGTCCACGAGAGCGAGCTGCGCAAGAAGCAGCAGGCGTCGCCTTTTGCAGAGATCAGCGACGAGACGACCTTCAGCCAGTACCTGCCCATGGTAAAGAGCTACCTCGCCGAGATCAAGGGCAAGGAGAAGCTGGACGATGACGACGAGTACGAGTACGATCTCTACTACTTTGACGACACAGCCGACAAGGCCGAGCTCGACAGGGACTACGGAGTGTACGTTATCACCCTCTTCTTCGTCTATGATAAGCCGCCAGTGGCACGTGCGCGGAGTCTTGGCGTGTCGCTGACGTCTATCATCAATAGGGTTCACATCGAGTCGTTTGATGAAGAACTGGTGGCGGGGAACGAGTACGATGAAAGCGAGGAGGAGTATGATTCTGAGGATTCCAATGGTACGACACTATACTTCTCATCACTATCCTCTCAACGTCTTTGCAGCTGTAGCTGATGACACACTAGCGCAAGAGAAGAATGGTGGCTTCTTCGGATGTCACCTCTCCATGTTCATCCAAATGATTTTGCGTGACTGACAAGACAGCTGCGTTATAGAAATATCAACTCTGCACCAACCTGGCCCGTCTTCGCCTAATGTTCTTTGTCGTGGTGTGGTGTCGGTGGCACAGACGAAAACAACCCCAACTACGAATACCCCGAGGAGAGCGAACCCGACTCGGACGGAGAAGAAGGTTAGTATCACCCATCATCATCCCCTTCATCATCATCATCATCATCTTCTTCGCCTTGCGTTGTGCCGGCTCACGGCAAATGACGTTTGTGCAGAGGGTGTCTCTGACCTGTCGAGCGATGATGAGGAAAGCCTAGTGACCATGCACTGGCGGCAGCTGCAGCGAGAGGAGTACTCCAAATTTGACGAGAGCATGGGCGACCTCGAGGACGGCGGCGATGACGACGCCTTGGACGACGACGACGATGACAACGGCGCCGTTCCTCCTCCGATGATCCAGCCCGACTTTGCCTTCTTCCAGAACTGGCGGGCTATGAGGAAGTAGCGGCTTGCTTCCCTGAAATCAATTCAAACTCTTCTTTTGGCACCAAACAGGGCTGCATCTTCGCGATGTTAATGAATCAAATCGCGTGATGGAGAAGCAAGATGCGGTTGGCGATGAGAGGCTTCGTCTGCCCAACCCCTTCACGCTGCCCTCGTTCTCCCTCGAAAAATGGAGCTACATGTCCCTGTTCGACCCTGGTGCCCCCCCCCCCAAAAACCGCCTTCGCATCTCTTCGTGAAGAAGACGTGGTCAGCTTATGCTTCAGTCCTCGTGGGGCGTGCTGCAGAGTGCTGGTACGAGGACCTGAAGGACTTCACGTTCGCCACGGCCTTCATGCCCGTGTCCAAGGCCCAGGCCACGGCGCTGGTGCATCACTACCAGCAGCACCAGCTGAGCCGCACCGATGCACTCACGCCCGATGACGAGGCGCAGCTGGCCCAGCTCGAGGCCGAACTGGCCCACGCCATGGAGGAGATGAAGTCATCATCAGCAAGACGAGAGCTGCAAGGCGAAGAAGAAGAGATGAGCTTCTTCGTGCGGCTGTCGTCGCGCAGTCCCAAGGACGCGGGCCTCAACGAGGGCCACCCGCGCATCATGGAGTACCTGACCGAGGAGCTGGACAGGTTCGGCGGGCTGGCGGCGGCTGACCCCAACCAAAAGACCGTGGCGATGCAGCGGGCCGCGGGGCGGATTCTGCGCGTGACCGACGCCAAGCAGGCGCTATGGCTCATCGTTAACAGGTACTCGCCGCTGCCGCATTCGCCTCAAAGCCAGCTCAAGACCAGGCGCTTATTGCCTCCGTACGGTGTGTGTCGTGTATCGTGCGGAACAGTGAGCGCACATTCACCGATATGGTGCACGCGCTTGGGCACGAGGACGGGGAGTGGACGATGAAGATCGTGCTGCGCCACTGGATGGACGGCGTGGATCTGGCCAACGAGTTCCGGGGCTTCGTGTGCCAGGGCAACCTCACTGCGCTGAGCCAGTACAACGACGGCAACTACTACCCCGAGCTGATGGGCAAGGAGGTGCTCGCTCTTCTACATTCTTCATTCTTCTTCGTTCTTCAGCTGATGCGTGTGCACGACAATCATCAATCAGGAGCTGATCGTCGGCAAGATCAGCGCGTACTGGCAGAAGGTCAAGCACCAGGTCAAGTACCAGGCCTGCATCGTCGACTTTGTGCTCGTCAACAACATGCAGGACGTCTACATCGTCGAGATCAACCCCTTTGTACACCTGCCGCCGCTTGATTCCATCCCGTCCCGGCCGTTCATGTACGTTCCTTGTGTGTGGCGCTGACTGGTGGTGTTCGACGCTACACACAGGGTCCGGTCACCGGCGGCGCGCTGTTCGATTGGGGCACCGAGCGGCCACTCCTGCAGGGCGAGTGCGATGTGTGGGGCGACCTTGACGAGTACCAGCGCAAGCAGAAGTCACTTTACGGACTGGGCGACGCCGATGATGGAGAAGACGGTGAACGCGAAGTGAACGAGGCGCCGGTGCGGGTTCAGCTGCGATACCAGGAGTACCACCACGACGACCACGACGGAGAGCCACGGCCGCCAGTGCTGCGGCTGGTGCACCGCGTGCCGTCGTATCTGACCGACGACTACCTCATGGCATTCCCCATTCTCGACCTCATCGGCAAGTGGCAGCAGCCGGGCACCTCGAGCGCCGGCGCATCGGCGATGAAGCGGGACCAGAACAAGAACACGACCAAGACGTGCTCGCTCCAGTAATCGGCCGACACTCGGATGTGTGGGCTTGACAGGCGCCGACGTCTGCGGAACGCTGGGGAGCAACTCCGTCGAATTTGTGTGGAGGTGATGAAGGGAGGTCAAGCGAGAGGTTCTCTCTTAGAGCACACGGCCGAGACCGCTCAACCAGACGCAGACACCCGTGAGGCGTATTGTGTAGCTGGCGCGCGTTCTTGTTTCTTCATCTTTACAACAACATAACATCAGGACCTGCATCTTTTTGTACAACTAAAACGCACCGGGCGAGGTAGTAGTAAGTAAAACAAAGAGAGTGAGACTACAGATGAATCAGGCCAAGGTGCTGCTGAACAATGGCGTTCGTATGCCGGTCATTGGGCTCGGCACCTATCGACTCTACAACCAACACAGAATCTCAGAGGTACTGCTCCCTCTCTTTGACGAAGAGGGGAGGCGTACGCGACGCTGCGGGGTTCATGTCTGGAAAGGCTCACCAACAGGTGCACTGGATCTATGCAGATCTACTGACCCCCCCCCCTTCGTTTTGGCAAACATTTTTTCTTTATAAACCTCTATTTCTCTGTGTATCACACAGGTGCTGGCGTGGGCAGTGAATGACTTCGGGTACCGCATGGTGGACACCGCCAAGTACTATGACAACGAACACGAGATCGGGAACTTCCTCAAGAGCTGCCCCGTGCCAAGGCAAGTAACCTACTCGATAGACGACACCCTCCCTCCTTTGATAAATAACGGTGCGGTCCGTGCGCAGGAAAGAGCTGTTCCTGGTCTCGAAGCTGTGGCCGGCCGACCACGGACACCAGCGCACGATGGCCGCGTTCCAGAAGTGCGTGCCCCCGACTCCACTGACGCTCTGATGCGCGCACGTTCGCTAAACCGCCCGCACACGACACGCACGACACGCGCAAACGCGGAACCAGAACGCTGGAGAGCTTGGACGTGGACTACCTGGACCTGTACATGGTGCATTGGCCCGGCGTGGAGGAGGTGGCGAAGGACCCCAAGGACCGAGAGGAGGCCCGCGCCATCCGAGCAAGCACGTGGCAGGCCATCACCACCATCACCACCATCACCACCATCACCACCATCACCACCATCACCACCATCATCATCGTCAACAGCAACAACTCAATGACCATCGCCACGATCAGGAAGGGCAAAGGCGATCGGGGTCAGCAACTACACCATTCGACACCTCAAAGAGTTGTCCAACTATGCCCGCGTACTGCCCTCGTAAAACTGTGTGTGTGTGTGTGTGGTGTGTGTGTGTGTGTGTGTTGTGTGTGTCGTGTGTGTGTGGCTTACCTTGTGTGCGCTGGGCAGGTGAACCCGGCGGTGAATCAGGTCGAGTTCCACCCGTATCTGTACCAGCGGGAGCTGCTGCAGTACTGCACGGAGAACAACATCCAAATGGAGGCCTACTCGTCGTTCGGCAAGGGCGAGCTGCTCAAGGAGAGGCGCATCATCGACGTGGCCAAGAAGTGCGAGCGCACCCCGGCGCAGGTGCTCCTGCGGTGGGCCATGCAGCACAACGTGATCGTCATCCCCAAGGCGTCCGTGCGGGAGAAGCTCGAGGAGAACAGCAAGGTGTTCGACTTCGAGATCGCGGCCGAAGACATGATGCTCATCAACGCCCTCGACAAGGGCTGGCGATGCACTTGGGACCCCACCCACGTCATCTAAAAGAAGATGATGATGGCGAAAATATGAAGTGTTTTTCTGCTGTGACTATGATGAACATGTCAGCGCATATATGTTAGCAGATATGGCAATTGTCTCTTTTTATGTTTTGAAAAAACTCTCTTACTCTCTTACTCCTGCTTCCTCTGCTTGGTGGCGCGGTCGCGCTTGTCGGCCGTGTACTGCTTGACGTAGAAGTTGAGGAAGAGGAAGAAGAAGGAGATGCCGATGGCGTTGGCGGCGACCCAGGCCTCGATGGTGCCGTGGCACGGCGTGCCGACGTACCAGAAGTAGCCGAAGAAGACCGACGTGCCGCAGTCGAGCATGAACTGCACGATCTGGATCGTGGTGATGTACTTGCGCCACCACTTCGGGCCGGCGCCGCGCGCCTGCTCGGCAAAGTAGTAGTACATGATGACGTGGACGAAGGCGTTGTTGAAGCAGGTGATCCAGCCCATGATGATGCCTGTGGTTGGTTGGTTGGTTGGTTGTTTACTGTCAGCAACAGCCACCTTAAACATTAATGACAACAAGAAAGCAGGTAGACAGTCGCTCTGACTGATATTTTTTTTAGAGGAAGTGTTAATAATATTTTAAAAAGTATTACTAATAATAATAAAATTGGCCAACACAGCACTGAAAAGGCGGGTTCCGTGAAGCGGCAGGGCGGATGGTGATGGAGCATTCACCAAGCGATTGAAATCGGGAGATGATTACAGAATTGAGAGCGATTTTGAGCCGTTGGGTCCGTAAAAATTGGAGAGATAAATTGGGGCTGACTTAATCTGAACTTGGTGAAGGGGCTTACCTTGGTTGATGGCGAACCAGCACATGGGCATGACGATGGCGTGGTGGTAGACGTGGAGGAAGGTGAGCGGCCGCTTCCGGAGGACGAGGAAGACGGTATCGAACAGCTCGTAGTACTTGGAGAGGTAGAAGAGGTAGGCCCAGAAGGTCATGGCCTTGCTCAGCTCCGGCGCCTCGGTGCATCCGCAGTAGACGGCGTAGAGGCCGTGGGCGCACGATGTGTAGATGGTCACTACTCGGTAGCCGATGCCGACGACCAGCGCCAGCGAGAAGAGGCAGAGGATGTAGTTGTGGATGACCAGGGGCCAGCGGAGGGCCTTGTCGAACGTGCCGGCGGGCTTGTTGCGCATCCAGAGCCAGAGCACGAAGATGGTGGTCAGGTATGTCGCCACGCCGCCCAACGGCCACACCACCGATTCGTTGGATGGCTGCTCTGACAGGTCCGCCCCCAGCTGCTCCATGTACTGCGCCGCCTTCTGCCACAGCACCTCCAGCTCCGTCGCCGTCGTCGGTACAGTCGCCGCCATTGCCTGACAGTAGGTTTGCCGAAACTGGGTTGAAGGTGGGGTCGAAGAAGAAAGGCGGGAGTGCGACCGACACCAAATTGGTCGTTTCTCATTTTCGGAAACTCCGCTAACAAAAAGAAAATCGCGAAATCGACGAAGAAGAAAAAGAAAATAGAAGAAATTGTGGTTTGCAGCAATCGAAAGATTGACGATGGCGAGCGCGTCGACTGATGAGGCAGGGGTGGTGCTCACCAGTCTGCCGCCGGAGGTGCTGGAGTGCATATTCTCGTACCTGTCGGCGCGCGATCTGTCGCGGGCCTCATTGGTCTGTTCCCAATTCAGCGCCACCGCGTCGGAGAACAAGCTGTGGCGCGATCTCTACTGCCACGTCTTCGACATCAGCCTGCAGCAATGCCTCCCCTCCATCGCTTCCCCACCCGGCCATCACGGCTCAACCACAACGCAACCTCAACAAGCTTCACTTTTGCCTCCTACTTCCGTGGTCTCCTCATCTCAATCACTCGATCCTTCATCAGCTGCTTCATCTTCTTCGACGGAGGGCGGTGCAGCACCGCCCGAGACATCAAGCAGCACTTCTCACAGCACTGGCGACGGTACGCGGGAAGAGGTGGTGCTCATCTCGCACGTCAAGTTGTGTTTCTCCGACGCCACGCACGTCTCGGTGGCGCGTGAGCGGGACTGGCGCGGGCTGTTCGCCGTGCGGTACGAAGTGGAGAAGAAGCACTGCATCTCCTTCCTCCAGCTCGAGCGCGAGCAGATCAAGCGCCGCAAGCTCGAACGCAACGCGGCCCGCGGCAAGGCCACCCCGGACACTGCCGCCTATGATGTAACACATCCCGGTGTGGTGTGTGTCGTGCGTGTGTCGTGTGTGTGTCGTGTGCGTTTCGGTTGGCTCACAAGGTTGTGTGATGATGTGCTCGTCCTCGCTGTGCGCCAACAGAAGGGCATCAAGAACGGCACGATGGGCGACATGGAAAAGGAGTACTGGATCGACCGCACGACGAGGAAGCGCATGACCGGCATCAAGCGCACGATGGAGGCGCTCAAGTACATCGCCTGGGGTGAGATATTACGCGAAAAAGTATGTACACCCATCAGGCACACAACACGCACGGCACACAACAACGCGGCTCGTATTCTGGAGTAATGCCAACGAAACGTTTGCCGGCCGCAGGCTTTGGATGCCTTGGACGAGATGGACACCGATGAGGCCCTGAAGCTTTTCATGGTCGCCTGCGAGGAGTTCCACTCGGGCTACTCCCTGCTGCCCGCGAATCACTCCCGTACGCTGTTTCTTTTTCGCTCTATTTATGATAATGATTTAATTATTTAAGGACTTAATGATTGTTTATTTAAGTAGTATTATTAGTAAATTTTCATATATGTTTGTTTATTGTCATTTGAGGCTCATGCTGTTCTCTGTGACCCGTTTCGCGCGCCAGGCATGCCGAACACGGTCAAGGACTGGGCCAAGGCGCTGGTCAGGCGCATGCGGCTGATGAAAGAGAAGGAGCAAAGGGAAGCGCAGCAGGCCGAGGGCGGCAAGGAGTTGGAGGACTGCGAGCTGAGCCCCGACCTGTACGACCAGATAACACAGCTTTGGAACAGATCGAACGAGATTTATGAAAGCTCCCTGCGGATTGGCGCTTCAAACTTCGACCCAAGTGAGCCCTCCAACCCCCTCGTGTCGTTGGTCGTGTCGTTGGTCGTGTCGTGTCGTTGGTCGTGTCGTGTCGTGTCGTGTCGTGTCGTGTCGTGCGCTCATAACCGGCGTTTCTATTGCTTCGGCTAGCCAAGCGTGCTGAGCTCTTCTGGGCGTATGGTCACTCGCTGTTGGAGCAAGCACGCCGCTACATTTCGGGCAAACGCCAAACCATACTCGACCCAGCGAAGGAACAAGGTCGGCGCCCCTTTCCTTCTCCGCGACCCAAACAAACTGGCTGGTCTCTTGCGTTCTCCTCTGTGCTCACCCTCGGCCGCCTCTTACTCGCACCAGAGCTCGTCCACAGGGCCTTGGCGGCCTTCGACAAAGCGGTGGAAGCCGATATCGCTGTACGAGCCCATCACGTTTCTCGTTACAATTCTCATTGTTAAAATATCTGTTCTATTCTTATATAATGTTATTCATCATTTATTTATTTATTTATTTGACTTTGTGCTCGTCCAGGATGGTCTCGAGGATTACGAGGTTGCCTATGGAGTGAAGACCTGCGTGCACTCGATCTTCACCTACAACACCTGGCGGGACCGATGCCTGCCGGCGCCGGCCCACGACGCGCTCATCCACGAGGTACGAATTAATCCCCCCCCCCATGTGCACCCACCCGGGCGCTGACACTCCCGGCCACCGCCGCCACCGCCGCCACGCACAGCTGTGGGAGGAGTGCCACAGGCGAATCAAGCGGACGCTGCGTGCCGACAGCGATCTGTTCGCTCAGATGGAACGCGAACTTGGTCCCTTGACCGAAGTTAAGGGTGCGCGACGTTGCTTATTACGTTCACCCGAGCAGCCAATGCAATGTACCACACAGTTGCGGCAGCCATGTGCGACTCACACGCCAAATCGATTGCATTTTCCCCTGCGCAGCTCAAGGCAGCGCAACAGATCTGACGAAGGAGCAAGAGGAGGAGGAGGCCGGCGATGAACTCAAGCCGCCCCCCGAGGACCCGAACAAGTTCTACCTGTGCGACTTTGACATGGAGTGTCACATCGAGTGGGCCAGCATCGTCTACACCCAAACGCTCCGGTTCAACCGTCCGGAGACGATGGACAAGGTGTTCAAAGGTCTGTCTGTCCTCCCGTGTGCCCGTGTGTGCCCGTGTGTGTGTGTGTGTGTGTGTTGTGTGTCTTTTTTCCATGAAACCGCACACTAGGATCAGAGTCTGATTGGCTCACCGCTTCGGGGGAGAAAAAACTCAGGTCTCGCACTCGCCAAGAGCATCCTGCAATGCGCCCTCGAGGAATTGGAGGACGACGACGTCGACTGGATGGGCCTCGTGAAAGGTACGACCTAGCGGCATAAACGCTCATCACCACAGATCGGTGGTGGTGGTGAGAGTGAAGCTCTAGAGCAGAACCGATGTTGATGCTGTGCAATTACGCGCGTATGCTGCATGCAGGCAATCTGGGTCTGTGCTACCTGCGGATGGCCAAGCTTTCGAACGAGCCGCAGGTCCAGGAGGAGGGCTATCGCTTGGCCGAGGTCTACTTCAGGGAGAGCGAGGCCCAGAACGACGACAGCCTCTACAACCTGGCCTCCCTCTACGCCCTGCGCGGTCGCACCGGTATCTGTCTCTCTCCCTCTCCTTCTCGGCCACCACACCCGCCCACTTACCGTGTGTCGTGTCGTGTTGCGTGTGTCGCGTGTCGCGTGTGTCGTGTGTGCGGTCTCGCAGCGGAGTGTGAGGCGTGTCTGCGCAGCTGCCTGGAGGCCAACAACCTGCAGGCGCGGGAGCTGGTGGAGGACGACGACCTGTCGGTGGTCCGCAACGAGGAGTGGTTCCCGCAGCTGGTCGCCGAGGCCAAGCTCCGCAACGAGGAGCAGCGCAAGGCCGACCAGGAGGAGAAGCGCAAGAAGCGCAAGGGCATCGACGAGTGGGCCAGCTCCTCGTCTGAAGAAGAAGATGATGAAGAGGGAGAAGATCTCGAAGACGCCGACTTTGTCGTTCGACCGCAACCAATGGACGAAGAAGGAGGAGCGTCATGATCTCGACACGTTCTTTTTATTTCCTTTGGCGCCCCGCACACGGCACCTTGGCCCGCAACTGGGAGGAATGCTTGGAATGTTGTGGGATATCACGATTCTAATTTCCGCGGGGACCACACCGTGTGCGCCGGCCCCGCAGCCCGCAGAGAGGTGAGTGGCGCGGGCAACGCGAGAGCCTTCTTGTTTGTTGGCCACTGAGAAGGAGGAAGAACGCGCAGAAGGAGGAGGAAGAGGAAGAAGAAGGGCAGGGTAGGGGCTACATCAGCATCATGATGACGTCGTGGCATGCAACAACACAACAACAGCAGCAGCTGCCAAAGAAAGACCCGTGGCGAGCGAAGACAGATCCTCCACTGCTCAGCTTGCGGGCCTCCACGGAGACGGTGTGGGCCGTCTTTGTAACGGTCGTCCTGTGCCTCTGTGCCCACGCATCCACTGCCCAAGGTACTCCTCACCACCAGACACCACCACCTGGCCGCCACCACGACCGAAGAACTGTGCGTGCGGTGCTGCCATGGTCTTGCCCCAAAGGTCGCGCGCGGCCTTTTGCGGGGCACATATACCTAAGGAATGCAATGCTGACCAGGTGCCCTCTCGCGTGTGTCGTGATGGCGCAGGGTGTTCGATTGCTTCGTGCGCGCAGTCGGTCTACCTGCTGGCCGATACCGACTGCACCTGCGGCGTGCCTGACATGACCCACTCCATCTCCACCACCAACTGCAGCTCGGTGGTCATCACACAAGTACGGCATTCCCCAACTCCACTCAACTCGTCATGCCTCCTACTCCTGTAGAAGGCTTATCTGTGTGTCGTGTGCGATGTGTCGTGCGTGTCGTGTCGTGTGTGCCGTTTAGTCGCCTCGACCTCGGACCGATGTGTCTGTGGGCACACACACGGTGACGTTCAACGTGACCTCTAGCGGAGGGACTGTCATGTCCTGCTGGGCCAACTTCACGGTCCTCTCACCGGCGTCCAAGATCTGCTCCTCCGACGGCGATGGGGACACTTCGTCGGCCGCGCACGAGCGGCTCCCTTCTTCGTTCATTGCTCTGGCTGTCGGCCTTCCACTGGCCTCTGCTCTGTCGACCACCAACATCACCTACTCCTCCATCTTCTCCACCGGCTTCGTTGGCCTTGGCCTTCTCCTCTTCATCTTCTTCTCCTTCTGCCGGGAAGGACGTCGCCAGCACGTCTTCAGAGGCGCAAATAACGACAAGACGACACACATGTACAAACTAAAAACCATGGTTTCGATAAATGCCGAGCATTCTTAGCATTTAAAATAAAAAAATAAGAATAATAAAAGATAATTGATATATTTGGTGCTTTACGACAGTTGCGTGAGCGCAACACTGCTACCACCACACGTGTGCGGTGAACAGAACGCGTGGGTGACAACGACAGATCGATCGAGCTCTCCATCCATCCATCCTCTTGGCACATCTTGACCAGAGATGTTCTGCGCCGAGACACCCGAAAGCGTTCATCTACGGCTTCAAGCCATCTGCACAGCCAACGACAGATGTGCCGACTGCAATGCTGAAGGTTTGCGTCTCATTTGTCATCCTTGATCTCCTTGATCTTCATTTTTCCATTTAAACTCCCAATTCTTCCTCGTCCACCCCCCCCCCAACAACTCTAATCGTTCCACTAATCTTTTCTTTTGTCCTTTTGATGGCAGCTCCAAGGTGGGTTTCGCTGACGTTGGGGGTCGTCATCTGCATTCGCTGCTCTGGTGCTGACCTCACCCCTCTTCGCTTTTTGCCTTTCGCTTTTCGCCGTTCTTCGCTCTTTCGATTGTTTGGCCCGTCCTGACCTTGGGCTTGGCCTTTGCCAAAGGCGTGCACCGATCGCTGGGCGTGCAAATCACGCGTGTCCGTTCACTAGAGCTCGACCTCTGGTCCGACGAACAATTGGAGGTGCACCATCCATGGCCCCATCACCTCCACCAACCATCATTGCCTACATTCTTCCCCCACTTCTTCTTTTCTCGTGGTGTGTTGGCTTGCGTGTTGTGTGGGTGGTGAATGGATTGGTCACTCACTTCCCCGACCAGATGGTCGAGTCGCGAGGGAACCCCGCGGTCAACCGCGTCTACGAGGCCTACATCCCGCCCGGCTTCACCAAACCCACCAACACCTCCTCCTCCACGTACACCAGCCTTTTCTTATTCTTATTATTCTTTTATGTATTCATTATCTCTTTTTCGAAATAGATATAGAAACGAAAATAACAATAATAATAAATTTCGTTTCTTTATTTATAATAATTTCCCTTTCTGGTGTTGCAGGGTGCTCGACGCCTGGATTCGGGCCAAGTACTGCAGCCTCAAGTTCCAGGACCCGTCCACAGCGGGGGCGGCTGCTGCGGCGTCGCCCCTCCTGCCCGAACCGACGTCGGGCGGCGGCAGCGGCGGCAGCGGCGGAAGCGAGGACAGGCCCAAGCCGCCCACCGTCCGGGTCCTGCAGGAGGCCGAGGGCGGCAAGTTTCGCCCGGCGCGCAAAGCCCTCACCCTCGATGTCGACTTTCGGAGCGACAGCGAAGAACCCTTATCTCTCCGAGGTATGCGCGTGTGCGTGTGCGGTGGCGCGTGTCGTGTCGTGTGCGTGTGCGGCGTGTGTGTGTCATGTGTGTTGTGTCTGACAGGGGTGTGCATAGATGGTTTGAGTTCGTCGGACGACGTTACAGACGACGAGCCCCGCAGCGGTTCGTCCTCGCCCGCCGCCTCGTCGGCCCGGGTCCGCATACGCCAAAAGCGAAGCAAGCGGAGCACCAGCACCTCGGCCGGGGGCAGCGGCAGCAGCGGCAACCACACCACGCGCCTGCAGCGGTCACCGATTCCCAGAGGCGTCGTCGACGACGACGAAGGCAGCGCGTCGGCCACCACGACCACATCATCGGGTGGCAGCACGCCGCGCGGGTTCGCGGCGGCGTCGGCTTCGAAGCTGGTGCGCGAGCGGTCGCACTCGTTCGACTCGCCCAAGACGCTGCGCCTTATTCTCGAGGGCGAGGGCGATGATGAAGACGACGACGTCTACGACAACATCGACAACAACCCCATCATCACCCACAACGCCGACAACAGCGTGATGACCACCAAGCGCAAAAACAAGAGCCGAGAGGGCAGCGGGCGAAGCCACAGCAGAGAGGGCAAGAGCAAGGAGAAAGAAAAAGAAAAAGAGAAGGAGAAGAAGAGGAAAAAGAAGAAGGGGTCATCCGGGTCGAACACGCCGACGAGCTTCCTCGCGCTGCCCACCATGCTGCGCGCCGGGTCGAGCTCCTCGACGCCCTCGTCGCCCGTGTCGATGCCCAACTCGCCCTTCCAGCGCGGCGGGCTGAGTAAGACCGACGCCTCGCCCGGGCCGAGCAAGAAATCGCAACTCTCCTCCGCCTCTTCCGAGACCAGTACGACCATCTTCGCATCGTGTTGCGTGTTGCGTGTTGCGTGTTGCGTGTTGCGTGTTTTGTGTTGTGTGTTGTGTGTTGTGTCGACTAACACACACCGTGTGTCGTGTTGTGTGTTGTGTGTCTGCCAGGGCACAGACGAACACGATCGGCCGATCGCAGTATTTCGTTCCGAGTCTACCGCGGCATGGACCTGGCCGATGACGAGAAGAGGGATCAGATCGCCAAGTACACCCTCGACGATGCGCACTCGCCGCACCTCCGAAACCGAAAGCTCCAAGGCACGTGCGCGGTCGTGCATGTGCGTGTGCGGTCGTGCGTGTGCGTAGCTGACTTGTTGGCACACGCACACAGAGGAGCTGGAGCTGTGGAAGACGTTGGAGACGGAGTGGGGCGTGGGCGATGAGAGCCTGCGGCGGGTGCAGCAGGAGGAGCGCAAGCGCATGCTGGCCGAGGCCAAGAAGCGGAAGAAGGAGAAGAAGGAGGAGGAGCGGGCCAACCGCGAGAAGAGGGGAGGCGAGGAGAAGGAGAAGGAGAGGGAGCGGGCCGACATCGTGTGGGAGAGCCTCGAGCGGGAGTGGGGCGAAGATGTGCGCAAGCGGCAGGAGGAGGAGCGACGACGGATGATCGACGAGGCCAAGCAGAAGAAGAAGGAGAAGAAGGAGAAGAAGAGCAAGAAGGAGGACGAAAGCGGCAGCAGCGGCGGCAGCAGCGGAGGCTTGAAGAAGGAGAAGAAAGGCAACAAGGCCGTCGATGATGAAGGTGAGAAGGAGGTCGTCGTGATCAGCGCCGCCTCGAGCGAGAAGAAGAAGAATCGGAGCAGGCCCAACAGCAACGGGCGGCTGGAGAGAATCGTCATCTCCGACGGCCCGCCGCCCACGGACGACAGCGGCCTCATCCAGCCCTTCCACCCGCCGCACCACCACCACCACCACGAGCACCACCGGTCGGCGATGGGCGGCTCTGATGAGAAGGAAAAGGAAAAAGAGCGAAAGCGAGAGAAGAAGAAGGAGAAGGAAAGAGAGAAGGAAAAGATGAGGGAGAACAAGAAGGTGAGGGGCGACTTTGATGAGCTGCTCGGGCGGGTGGGCGACGCGTCGACCACCACGACGAACCCCAGCGCCACGGCGACGGCGACGGCGACGGCGCTGACGACCGGTGGCGGCGGCGAGGTGGGCGGAAGCGGAGGTGAGAAGGAGAAAGAGAAAGAGAAAGAACGAGAAAAGGAGGAAAAGAAGAAGAAAAAGAAGGAGAAGGAGAAGCTGGAGGCGTGGTACCATCTGCTGCAGCCTCTGGAGGAGAAGGACAAGGAGAAGGAGAAGGAGAAGGATGGAGGAGGACATCAACATGAAAAGGAGAAGGAGAAGGAAAGGGAGAAGGAAAAGGAGAGGAAGAAGAAAGAGTTCCACGCGTGGAAGAGTCTGCTCGAACCGCTCGAGGAGAAGGAGAAGAAGGAGCGAGAGAAGAAGGAGAAGGAACGCGAGAAGACCATCGGCCGAGTTCCCTTCACCGATTACGAGACCTGAGAAGGCGAAGGTGAAGAGAAGAACGAAGAACGAAGACGAAGATCGCGACCGATCACGTGAAGAAGGTGGGACGGGACACATGTACATTGCAGCTTAGCGGTTGCTACAAACTGCAGGAAAGCTCGAGTCCTCAACTTGATGTTGAGCTCCATTTCATTCCTCCTTTCTCGACGAGGCGGTGTCGGCGAGTCGGTCGCGCATGAAGGCCATTCGCCTCTCCACCGAAAGTACCTCCGGTTGCGTCTTGCCGACCTGCTGGAGGAAGCGCAGGCACTGCTGGCGCATCTTGGCGTTTCTCCGCTGGCCGTCCTGGAACTGCTCGTGGGTCGTGGGCGCGTCGTCGTCGATCGGGACCTCGTCTGGACGCGGACAATTGAGAGATGTTAGCGACTGCACCTCCTGACCTTCTGTTCGAGCGTGTGGGCGTGGTGTGGAGTACCAGGATCGAGCTTGAGCGGTTCTAATTTGAAGGAACAGACAAAGAGCTCCTCCTCGGCGTAGAGCGGAAACTCGATTGACGCCTTCGTTACGGTATCGACGAACGAGACCTTGTCGTGCGGTACCGCTCCAGCCAGCGTGCCAATCTTGACGGGCTGTGCGGTGGCAGTGGGCCGACTGCAGCCTGTGATCTTGTGGAGCTGGGTCGTTGCCTGCGTCTTCTTCTCCTGCGGGTGAGATCACTCGAGTCAGAGAGGTTCGCAAACAGAGCAGATTTTCGCGTACGGCAAGAGGAACCACAGTGGCGCAGAGTGCAGGCGATGCGTTCATCAGACGCAAGGCATAAGTTCCATCGGCGTCTGCGGTCCCGCTGGAGGCGGGTGCGGTGGGCGTGGGCGCTCTTGATATCGGGGGCAGCACACGGACATTGCGTCGATCTGTAGGCCAGAGAGTCGCTACGAGATCAACACGTGTAGACCGTAGTAGACTTTGGTGGCTATGATATACCTTGAGGCGCCTTCGGCAGCTGGCGGGTGCTTGTGCTGGTGCTAGTGGCCTCGCATAGACGACGCCATTCCTCACTTCTATCGTGGGTGCGGGCAGGCTGGCTTCTCTCTTCGAAACTATAGCCACTCGGTGCGCCACTTACGACCGGTCGGCTCCTGGTGTCGCAGTTACCAGAGAACGGCGCGCGTAGGGGCTGCGGCCCGTCGTCGGTCGAGATCGAAGAGGCCGTCGTAGTGCGTAGCGGCGCCAGATAGCGTGCCCGCTTTGACGTCTCCCTTACACACGACATGTTCCAATCCACCAACTCGGGCAGGGGAAGAGGAGCTGGTGTAGGCAGAGCGGGAAGCGAAGGAGGCGCCGACGGACAGACAGGTTGGACATGCAGAGGCCGCAACGTTCTACGAGGCGGCAGGGTCGAGTGGATGTGCAGGGCAGGCGAGCTAGTGGAAGGAGAGCCACCTGGCGGGAAGCGATCGAGCTGGAGCGCCCCCCTTGACTTGGGCTTAGAGGAGGCGTAGAAAGTATCGATTCGAGATTGCTTGAGACGTTTTTCGGGCGATGCTGACCAGTCCTTACGCGGGCGTTTCTTTTTCCTCTTCGAAGAGGTCTTGCTGCTCGAGTGCTGGCATCTCTTGGGGCCTGGCGGATACACGAACTTCGGAATGCCTGGGTGTGGAGGCTTGATCAGGAACTGGGTCCAACGAGGCGGCCGTGGAGGCGGCACCTGAGGAAGGCTCTCTTTCTCCATCGATCAATTCGCTCAATCGAGTCCCGTTGGCCCCCATCCCCAGATCCGAAAAAAGTTGTGTTTTTGCCTGCGTTTCATTCCCGCCAAAAATAATACCATTTTTTAGTGTTTTAATTTGCGCGCCAAACACGGGAGGACCGTTTGCTGACGGAAACGCGAAGTTGGGGAAATACGCGATGATTACTTGCACTCGGCATGGAGGCGGGTGGTGGGTCGACGGGATCAGTGAGCGTGTCAGTCCTCGATGCAGAGATTGAAGAGTTTCAGCGGCATGTGAAGCGAAAACGCGAAAGCAATTCTCAATCGACAGATGACGAATCCAGTTGTGCGGCCCTCATCTTCCTCATCTTCTCATCTTCCTCGGCACATGCTTCTTACTTGTGCCACGTACGTGCAGCATCGCCTAAGAACGAAACCTCATCTTCATCGGAGAAGGAGCGTTCTAAAGCGAGGGATCGAGCCAGTGGCAGCACCAGCAGGGGCAGGGCGTGGGGCGCGGAGCTGCCCAGCGAGACTTGTCGGTCGCCCGTGAAGCGGCTGGCCATAGCGCCCATACCGCCCGAGCGCTTCTACGCCTCCTCCGACAAAAAAGACGACGCCTGGCTGCAGCACCTCGAGACCCTACGCAAGCCCATCGGGTACCGTCTAATCTTGGTCTTTCCACCTCATTTGATGCACTGACTCGTCTTCCCTTGCGCTGCAGCGACACCTACGAGGAGTTCCCCCGCCAAGAGTACCGTCTTAGTCAGAGAAGCAATGAACCTGATGAACGTGTGGTGGTGGTGCTGATGCTGTCTTGACGTGGCCAGGCTGGCGTTTCGCTTCGCGGATGGGAGACCGGGGGAGGGGCTTCACGTGTTTGCACGCGAACGACGAAAGGAAGACGAATGCGGTACGCCCTGTCCCTTCGACTCTTGTGTTGGTTTGTTGCACAGAGCCCTCGGTCGGTTGATGACCTCACTGCACCTCGGCGGACCTGCAGGTCTGCGCACCTACATCGTCACCACCTACAAGGAGTTCTGGAAGCGCTACACGCAAGCGGAGCCGGCCCTGCGCAACTACTACGAAATGGTGCGCACTTCCTCTCCTGCTTTTCATGATCCTCTTCTACTCACCATTCCCCTTCGCTGTATGTCGCTGTGCGCGTGCGTGTGCGGTGATGAGCGTGTGCGACAGATACGCGAGGGCGTGTGCTGCAATCTCTATTTTGACATCGAGTTCCTGAAGGCCGAGAACCCGCACATTATGGTAGGTGGCCACGAGGAGGCCTTGATGAAGGCCTTCACCAGGCTCGTCGGGCGCGAGGCCCAGCTCTTCTTCGCGCTGCCCTTCCGCGTGCGGCGCCGGCACTTTGTAGATCTGGACAGCTCCGACGCGCGCAAGTTCTCGCGTCACCTCATCCTGCGCATGCCCGACAACTACGTCTTCGCCAACAACCACCACTGCGGCCACTTCGTCAAGATGCTCCACCACAAGCTCTCGCTCCTCCGCCAGCTCCACGCCCGCGAACGCGAGCAAGCCGCCGCCGCGGTTGGTGGCGAGGGCGAGGGCGAGGGCAACGAGGAGCACGAGCCGCTGCCGTCGCAGGACAAGATGGCTGGGATTAGCAGCGAGATGCTCGACCGCTTCTTCGTGATGAACGGTAACGATCGAGAAACACACACCACCGCACACACCACCGCACACAACGCATCGCACACGTCGCTGACTGTGTCGTGATGGTCGTGGCCACGGCGGCAGACAAGGGCAAGGAGGTGTTCATCGTGGACATGGGCGTGTACACGCGCAACCGCAACTTTCGGCTCATCTACTCGACCAAGGTGGGCAAGCAGCTCTTCCTCCGGCCCAGCGCCATCAACCGCTACGCCCCGCCGCCCCAGCAGAACCGGCGTTCCGACGAAGAAGTGGAGGAAGAGGAGGAGATGTCGTACGCGTGGTTCCTGAGTTCACTGGTCACGCGCGTTGGGGAGGACAAGGAGACAGACATGATGAAGGTCTACCTCTTGTCATGCGAGCCCGTACCTTCCGAGGTACGACCGCACACGCACGCACACCACACCACCGCACACGCACCACCGCACACGCACCACCGCACACGCACCACCGCACACGCACCGCACACACACCACCGCACACGCACCGCACACACACCACCACACACCACCGCACACACACACCACCACACGCACCACCGCACACCACCGCACGCCTTACCGCACACCACACAGTAACATGTTTACCTCCTGATCAGGACGGAAGAGAAACGCTGTTCTACTCGCACTACCTGACGCCCCTCACGCTGCTGCCGAGCCTCGTCACGGGCCTGTTCGCTTCGCCCGTCGGCGCCGCGTCTTCTTCTCACCACTCGACCTCCGCCTCTTCGCACTCCTCCTCGGTACCAGCGCTCACCTTCTCGCCTCCGCCCCTGACCGGGGCGTCAGTGGGCCGCTACTCGCTTCTGCCCGCGCCTGCCGTCTTCATGCCCCGAGTGACGCCCGAGTGCTCGCCCAACCCTGCTGGTGCCGCTACCACCACCACTCCGACCGCCCTCTACTCCCCTCTTTTCACCTCTCCCTACCAGCCCGCCCTCCCCTACTACGCCCTTCCCTCTTCCACATCATCTTCGTCATCTTCATATTCGTCGAACTACTTGCCATCCGCATATTCATCATCGTCTTCATCGTCGTTCGGCTCGGGCTTCCCAGCGATTGACGAGTTCATCGCGGGGCACGTGGGGGGCGAGCGGCCCGGTCGGCGAGGTGGGTTCCGCTCTGTGCGCCGATGGAACGCCCTCATCGTGTACAGCATCACCCACAACCGCTACTGCGAGAACATCGGCCGAGAACACAAGGTACGATCACACTGCACCGAATGCGTGTTCTTCTACGCTTCGCTCACCAGCAACACGCAACACGCAACACCCAACACACGGCACGCACACAGAGCAATCATATAATGATTGTGGTGGACTTGCGAAGCGCTACGTTCTACCAAAAGTGCTACGACCCGGACTGCCAGGCGATTGACTACCGGTCGCCCGAGTACGCGCTCCCGCCCGACATTTGCCCTACCACCACCGTCTTCTCCAGCTCCGTTCCGCCCACCGCAACAACCCATGAGCAACCGGCCAACACCATCATCAACAACAACAGCGATGGTGAGCATCAGCGGCACAACCATCACGAGGACCAAGACAATGACGACGATCGCTTCTTGTCGGACGAGACCCTGTACCAGTCCATCATGGACAACCCCTCCCTGTGGCCTTAACATCGATTTTTTGTAGGCTGGCGTTTGATCAAACGTGAGTCACCTGGAAACAACAACAGACGATGATGATCGTTCACTTGTTGTTGTGCTTCATGTTTAGCAGAGCAGCGTTCCTTCTCTTCACAGCGCGACAGAGGGGAGTCCGACCTGGGCGGCCACGTCCTGTACCACGGCCAGAGGTTGCATGTCCCACGTGTGATGATGTCGCAGGCCCAGGAGCGCCAGCCGGGTCCCGGTCTCCTCTTCAGTGCCGGATCGGGTCGCGACAAGGATGAAGGTGTAGAGCTTCATCGCTTCTAGTAGTCGAGAGACTTGCTCGTCCTTCCCCTCCATATCATCATCGTCGTTGCCCACAAGCCTGTCCCACTGCTCCTTCACTGATGGCGGAACGTCGAAGGCGCGCTCGCCGGCTATGCTCGGTCGGTGCGTGTTGGGGTCCAGGAACGCCGTGTAGAACGCCGAGAGCTCTGCGTTGTGGCGGTCGTCGGTGGTGATGGCGGTGGTGGAGCCGCGCAGGAGTTGCTCTATGCCCTCGCGCCGGAGTAGTTCCTCGTCGGTGGGCCACGACGGCACTACTCCCGATTCCGCATCGAGTGCGAAGAAGTGGTCGAGCGGGTAGGCCACGCAGCGCTCACGGACACTGTCAATGATCACTCCCCTACTCCTCAGACACACACACACACACGCACGCACACGCTATGAGCAGCTGCGCACATGTGACCAAACGCAAGGAGCCACACCGTACCTGGACTCATAGGTCAGCATGTTCCACCGACCTTTGCACGACGTGGGGTCGGCGGCAAACAGGAGCAGTGGCCCCTTGGCATGGACCTGGAGGCCCTCGGCTATCATCGTAACAAATATGTCCCGGTACTTGTTGAGCACCTCCAGATGGACGGTCGCGTCATCAGCCCTGGTCCAGTACAGTAGAAAAGTTCGTTGAGTTGCGTGCGTGTGCGTGTGCGTGCGTGCGGGCGTGCGCGCGCGCACCTGTGCAAGAACGGCGCAAGATCGGGAAACGCTGTGGCCAGGTCGGCCTTGGTGAAGTATTCTCTTCCGCGCATGAGGCCGATCAGTTGCGAGAAGTGGAACGCCACCGTCTTGAACTGGGAGGCGTTGAGCTCGTCTTTCACTTCTCTGACGACAACCACATCCAGGTACGTTAGGCTGCACAGTTCAACCAAAAACGCATTGACGCAGCCGACGAGAATGAGACTTCGTTGAGTACCTAAAGTCTACCTGCATGAGGCATTCCCTGCGGGCCGCGAAGCTGTTGGTCGCCTTGAGCGCAGACTTGGAGTGCTGTCGGTACTTGGTCTTGCTGACAATGCCCATCAGGTCCCTCGTGGCCTTGACCAAGCGCATCGGCACATTCCTATGCACGAGCCTGTGTGTGTTGTGTGTGTGGTGTGTGTGTGTGTGTGTGTGGCGGTGCATATCGCAGGGTGAGACAGACTGCAAGTCAAGATTGTGGAGGGATGGGTTTACCTGTGCGCAAGCGGAGAAGGGTGGTCTTGCTCGTGCAGGGCATAGGTGTAGTGGACGCAGTTGTGGATGGCATCAGGGATCCCCTGTTTGAAGAGACCACATGGACCACAGCCGTCAGCAGCAGAAACAAAGGGGAAAGCAGGAGGCCTTTTGGTGGCGATTGATACCTTGAAGCTGGCGCACACGATGCCGTCACCATCGAGCACGACGATGTTCTTGTTCTCTGGCTTGAGCCGTCGCTGCCGCTGCAAGTGGTTCAGAGAGGCGTCGTCGCTATGCACTTGGCTTCCTTCTCCGATGCCACTCTTCTTCACTTCCTTTGCACCTCCTTCGCTTTCATCGCTATCCACCTGCTCTTCGTCTTCTTCCGCCTCTCGGGCATCTGCCGCGAAATCGCAGAATTTGTAGCAGGCTTGGATGGGTGGGAGGCGATCAAACACGTACAGGGTGTCGAGATCGGTCGAATCTTTAGATCCTATGATGAGGTACACGTAATGGCTAGAATCGCAGTCGATCTCAGCCTCGCCCAGTCCATCTGCAGCATTTCGCTTCTTGTTTCGATTGTTTCTTCTCTTTCTGCCCCGCCCACGCTTCGTCAAGACCTTGCCCGTGGAGCTTGTTGCTGCATCCATCTCAGTTGTGCAAGCAAATGGAGCGTAACGATTCACAGAAGGCAAGATCAAAATGGCGCCAAAAGACAGAAACGAAAACAAGATTTGCGTTGATTGCCGAAGGTGCAGAAGCCAGCTATGAATCCGTACGAACCCAACAGCATCGAAAGTATTTTGGCGGAGGAAGAGCGAGTGCCCGTGCGCATCCGATTCCTTGAAGATCGTCAGGATGTTCCCTACTGGATCGCCAAGGTTCGTTCATTCATGCTCACTTTTTCCGTTTCCCTGGTGTGGATTAAATTCAATGAATGTGCGGATGGCAGGAAGTGGAGACGTCGAGGATCGGCAGACTTAAGGTGCCCCCACAGTACAAGGAGAAGTTCATGACGGCCATCGGCACCGACCCCATGTCAACCACCCTCAAGCGCACCCCCTACTACTTCCCCATCGGGCTGCAGCTCAGCCGACCGAAACCCCAGTACGCCTCACCTTCATCTTCTTGTTGGCGGAGCATACGCGCTCGCATGCGCTAACATGTGCAACTCTACACAACGATCCATCCATCCAACTTCATCCACGCCACAGGGACGAGGATGATGACGACGAAGGCCTGGAGGACGATGAACCTGATGTGCCGCCTTCGTATCTCGACCTCATCAGAACCTTCCAGTCGCGCTATGTAAGCGTCGTAGATCGGTAAGCGCGCCTTCGCGTGTGCGTATGGTTGCCGCCCAGCCAGCCTCGTCACCTTCATGACCGCACACGCACACACGCACTACCGCACGCGCAGGGCGGTGAACTTCCGACAGGAGGACACGTCGTTTGCGGCGAAGCTGTCGGCCAAGGAGCGGGACATCTACTACGCCGCCCACGAGGCCACCACGCAGTTCACTCAGTGGCGAAGCGGCAAGGAGAAGCAGACCGCCACCATCCACGCCACCAGCGGAAAGCGCAAGAGGCACGACGCATGAAGTTGCCGAGTATGTCGTTCCTTGTTTGATGACGTTTACACGTGTGCTATCACTCTTCATTCTTCGTTCGTTCTTCCAACTGTGTTCGTTCTCGACATGAAGCTGTTCAGCACGCGCGTGTGGCTGCCCTGCAGTGGACGTCTGGACGCTTAGATCTCAGAGCCGACCACGGAAGACTCGTCGGAGAGGTCTGTCATGTTCGCCATGGAATCGTCGACGGTGTCGAGACCCAGCTCCTCGTAGTCCTTCTCGAGGGCGGCGATGTCCTCGCGCGCCTCGCTGAACTCGCCCTCCTCCATGCCCTCGCCGACGTACCAGTGGACGAAGGCGCGCTTGGCGAACATGAGGTCGAACTTGTGGTCGATGCGCGAGAAGACTTCGGCGATGGCGGTGCTGTTCGAGAGCATGCAGCACGCGCGGGGCACCTTGGCAAGGTCGCCGCCGGGCACGGCCGTGGGCGGCTCCTTGTTCACGCCGCACTTGAAGCCCGTCGGGCACCAGTCCACGAACTAACGAAACGGAAAGCACGACGATGAGCGACGTACACGACAGAGTTCAGGTTCGAACGAGATATGTCTGCTCATCTTCGTACCTGGACCGTCTTGGAAGTCTTGATCTTGGCGATGGAGGCCTGAACGTCCTTGGGCACGATGTCACCGCGGTACATCATGCACACGGCAATATACTTGCCTGGAGGAGAGTAAGGTAAGACTTCGCCGTAAACGAGATAGCCGAAGCTGCTGCGTACCGTGACGCGGGTCACATTTCGCCATCATGGAAGAGGGGTCAAAAGCTGCGCTGGTGAGCTCCGCGACGGAGAGCCTCTCACGGTCGACCTTGGCGGCGCCGATGATCGGTGCGTACGAGCACAGGAGGAAGTGGATACGCGGATAGGGAACCAAGTTGACCTGGAACTCGTTGATGTCGATGTTGAGAGCGCCCTCGAAGCGAAGGGAGGCCGTGAGCGAGGAGATGACTTGGGCGATCAACCTGTTGAGGTTGCTGTAGGTCGGACGCTCTACGTTGAGCCTGGTCTTGCAGATGTCATAGATCGCCTGTACGAGGAAGTAGCGTGAAGCTGCAACGTGAGCAGCTTTGCAGCTTCGTAAAGTTTAATGTCAATTCCAGGGTTGCGCATACCTCATTGTCCAGCATGAAGGCCACGTCGGTGTGCTCGAGAAGCGAATGAGTCGAGAGGACGGCGTTGTAGGGCTCAACTACGCTGGTGCTGACCTGAGGCGATGGAAACACGCAGAAGTCGAGCTTGCTCTTCTTATGGAAGTCGACGGAGAGCCTCTCGAGCAGAAGCGAGCCGAAGCCAGAACCGGTACCGCCGCCAACGGAATGGAACAGGAAGAAGCCCTGAAGGCCATCGCACTGCTCCGCGAGCTTGCGTACGCGCTCGCTAACCATCTCGACATGCTCCTTACCGACCGTGTAGTGGCCGCGAGCGTAGTTGTTCGCCGCATCCTCGTAGGTGTTGAGCAGCTGGTCGGGATGGTACAGCTTGGCCATCGATCCGCTCCTGATCTGGTCTATCACCGACGGCTCCAAGTCGAAGTGCACTGCGCGCGGCACATACTGCACACGAAGAAAGGCGAGAAAATAAGCTTGCTGAGCGAAGGGTCGCGAAAGTCGAGTAGAAGAGATGGAGAAGTACCTTGCCAGAGCTAGTCTCATCGAAGAAGGTGCTGAGGCCGGCCTTGCTCTCCGTACGCCCGGGCAGCAGGGTGCCGTCGCTCTGGATGCCATGCTCGAGGCAGTACAGCTCCCAGCAAGCGTTACCGACTTGCACGCCGGCCTGCCCCAAATGCAACGAGATGATCTCCCTTCCCATGTCTCGCTTGGCCTAAGTAGTCGTTTCAAATCTCGAATCGAGTGGTCGAGTAGTCGTGTAGAGGGTTATATCTCGGTGCGGTTCTTTTCGTTTGTTCTTTCTTCTCTCTTCTTTCTACAGAGGAGAGCAACTGGCGTGAAGCTGAAGAGGCGCGTAGCAGCAGAGGATGAAGAGATAGCAGTAGGGGGGTTTGAGTCTTCTTGATGAGGAGAAGCGTAAGAAAAAAAGACGGTAGCCGGCTGTCGGCCCTTTTAAGGGCCGGGACACGTGTGTGGCGTCACATGTCACCACCGAAAACCAACCGGCCAACGATGGCGCCAACCCGCACTAACCGATTTGGTCGAAGTGCCTGGAAGACGCTTCAGCGAAGCTCTGCCAAAGCGCGGGAAATGGTGCCGTTGGCTGTTTCCCGCCAAAGACATCCCTTCTCGCAGATTCTGCTGGTGTGCTTGGCGTTTGATAAAGCGGACCCGTGAACCAAGAGTTAGTGATGCAAACAGGAAGCCTCCACGCCATGATCGACCACAACGCAAGCATGCCGGCGCACAATTAACGATTACAGACATTTGGTCCGGTCGCACTCCTTGTGATGCCAAGTGGGTGGCCGAGTAGGGGCCCCTAGGCAGGTGTCGAGCCCTCAGCGCAGCAGGCGCGTGAGCAGGACCGCAGAAGATTAACCCCGTTGAGGCGGAGTGATGACGTCGACAAAAATCAGAACTCCCCGCAGACGAGAGGTCAATAAAACGCGAAGAAGCTTCCCGTCCAGCTAATCTTACGGTCTTTACTCTTTCTACCGAGCAGCACTGCGCATCAATCCCAACAAGAATATCTTCTTGTTTATCTCTATCTTCTATTCCCTATTTTTCAGTTGATTATAATCCTCCCAAGATGGGAGTGCGCACCTTCATCTGCGTGGGGCTGGTGGCGGTCTACTTTTACACGGGCACGTTGGGCCTGCTCGTAGGCATGCTTGTCTGGTTCGGTGCCTCGTTTGCCCTCACTCGCCTCCGGTCGGCCAGAGGTACCTCACACAACCATCTACTTTTTGATTCTAAATATTTTTGATTTTATTTTCCCATTTATTTATTTGCTTTTTTGCTTTATTGATCACCACCTTGTCACGTCACAGCCGACGCGGTGGAGGTGGACATCGTGGCGGAGCCGCTGCTGGGCCATTCGGCGACGGAACTGGCTGCCATGGTGCGCCGGGGCGAAGTCACCTCCGTCCAGTTGGTGGAGACCTTCATCAAGCAGATCGAGAAGGTCAACCCCAAGGTACGCACACCGCCTGACAACCCCGGATCCGTTGCACACCACTCACCCCCGTTCCGTTGCTCGTCGTCGTGTGTCATGGTGTGCGCGCGCGTGCGTCGTGTGTCGTGCGTGTCGTGCGTGTCGTGGGTGCCAGCTGAACGCCATGGTGGCCACCCGCTTTGAAGAGGCGCGAGAGGAGGCCAGGAGAGCCGACGAGATCACGCAGCAAACGGCCGACAAAGCAGGTACGCGAGAGCCCTGCATCATTTCTCTTCTTCTCTGTACCGACGCTCACCTGCTGCTTACTCGCCCGTTTGTTCTCCATCGTCCATGGCGCCAGCCCTTCCGCCGCTGCACGGCGTTCCCTGCTCGGTCAAGGAAGCCATGGAGCTCACAGGTACCTTGAAGAAGAAGAAGAAGAAGAAGAAGAGCGCAACAGCAACTCATCGCCCATTCCTTCTCTCTGCAGGAATGCCGCAATGCTCGGGTCTTCTCTCACGCCGGCATCGCAAGTCCACTAAGGATGCCACCGTCGTACAGCGCCTCCGCAAGGCTGGCGTACGCTTTTCCCCAATAATAATATTTTTAAATATATTTTTACATTTACATTAACTTCTCTTTTCTTATGTTTTTATTTTATTTTTATTTTTCGACTCACCCGGCACAAACACAACAGGCGATCCCGCTCGGCGTGACGAACGTTTCCGAGGTGTGCATGTGGATGGAGAGCGCCAACAAGGTCTACGGCCGCTCCAACAATGCCTACAACACCAACCACACCGTGGGCGGCAGCTCCGGTGGCGAAGGTACGGGCTACCCCCGCGGACCCGCTTCAACTTCTCGCGAAGATGGGACGGGCTGTACTCATTCCTGTGCGTCGTGCGTAGGATGCATCGTGTCGGCTGCGGGAGCTGCCTTTGGCGTGGGCTCTGATATTGGCGGATCGATCAGGTACGCGGTCCTATCGTCGACACCTCTGCCTTGGTTACACGCACGCACGCATGACACTGTGCAACTCATACCGAACGCACACGCACACGCACACGCAGGATGCCTTGCTACTTCAACGGAATCTTCGGCCACAAGCCCTCGGCTGGTCTGGTGCCCAATACCGGACAATACCCGATTGCGGTCAACCAAGGTTCGTTCTTAACCATACCGCACACGCACACGCACACGCACGCACGCGTTGATATTAATCGCCCCCCCCCCACGACGACGACGGTGTACAGCTTTGCGATATATGTGCACCGGGCCGATGTGTAAGCGAGCCGAGGATCTGTGGCCGCTGCTCAAAATCATGGCCGGACCCGACGGCGTCGACACCTACCAGCAGCACCTCGAACTCGGCGACCCCAGCCAAGTCGACATCAAGTCCCTCAGGGTACGTACTACTTAAGTACACTAACATGAAAGCTAATATATATATATATGCTAATATGTTTACAATATGTTGCGCGCGCACATATGATTGGCATCATCATCATCAGATTCTTTGGGGCGACCCGTGCTATATGCTGACGTTCTCGGCCAGCGAGGAGATCCAGCGCGCGCAACGGGCCTGCGTGGAGCACCTCGGCTCGCTGGGCGCCAAGGACGTCCAGAAGATCGACATGTCGGTACGTGTGTCGTGTCGTGTGTCGTGTCGTGTGTCGTGTCGTGTGTGTCGTGTCGTGTGTGTCGTGTCGTGTGTGTCGTGTCGTGTGTGTCGTGTCGTGTGTGTCGTGTCGTGTGTGTCGTGTTCTCCATGTCATGCGGCGCATTCTTATCTCCGCCTCGTTCCGTCTCTCGCAGGAGTTCAAGGAGGGCATGGATGTGTGGTCCTCTCTCATGGCCGCCGCCGGTGGTCCCACCTTCAGCGAACTGCTGGGCAACGGCAAACCCATTCGCTCCTCCCTCGAGCTGCTCAAGTGGATCGTGCGACCACCACCACCCCACACCCCTTTGCTCCACCACCTGCGCTGACACTCTTGACACTGCTGACACACTGGTACCAGGTGGACGTGGGCTCGGAGTACACGCTGCCGGCGATCGGCCTCGCGCTGCTCGAGGCGCTGCCGCGTCTGATGCCCGAACGCGCCAAGCGCAGCGTGGAGAACGGCGACGTGCTCAAGGCGCGGCTCGAGGAGCTTCTGGGTGATGACGGCGTGCTCATCCTCCCCACCTACCCCACCACGGCGCCGGCCCACGGGATGGCCATCCTCCCGCCCACCAACTGGGTACTCAGTCGCCCCAGTTCCCCGTTGTTGGTTCCTCTCCACTTCTGTGTGCGTTCTTACACGCCGCACACGCCGCGCGACGCACGCAACACACACAAGGTGAACACGGCCATGTGGAACGTGATGGAGGTGCCGGTGACGGCGGTGCCGCTCGGCCTCGACTCGAAGGGGTTGCCCATGGTAAGCTTGCGCTTGGATTCGTTCGCCTGCGCCAAGGCTCGCCCAATCTCACTGTGTGTGTGTTCTACACGTAAAGGGCGTGCAAGTGATAGGGAAGCACGGCAACGATCACGTCACCATCGCCGTGGCCATGATGCTCGAACGGCGCTTTGGCGGTTGGGTTCCGCCTCGCCCACGCCACTCCTAGAAACAGCACACGCGCGTGCGACGCGACGCGACACGCGCACACGACGCTGCACGAGCTGCAGAAAGAGAGAGCGTGCGTGATGACTGATTGCCGCGAGCTTGTAGATCTCTGTTTGCTTCTGTTTGTTTCTGGAAAGAGTAAAGCGTGAAGCTGAGATGGGAGGGCAAAGCCATGGGCGGAGGCTGCAGTTGAGAACTGTTTACTGCAGCATCTTAGCGAGACGGCCGCTCTGGTGGGCGTCGTGCGCGGCGTCGCTGCCACCAAGGTGCTCGCCTGGTGGTGGAGGTGTGATGACGCAACGACGGCGAAGACCACGGAATGAGGGTGGGTGAGTGGGTCTCCCAAGATGAAGATGGGTAAGAGGAATGTACCCTTGATGAAGATGTTGGGGACGGTTCTCTGACCAGTCTTTTCTGCAGAACATATTGAGGAAGGTAAAGATGAAAGAGGCAGAGTGAGCTAACACGAAGAAGAGATGGAGATTTGAGGAGTGATAGGCGAACCCTGAAGAGCCTTCTGGATGTCAGCGCCACTGGGGTGAAGATCGAGCTCAACAGCGTGGAAGGGGATGTTCTCGTTGGTGAAGAGCTGCTTGGCTCGCTTGCAGTAGGGGCAGTAGCTGTTGGCCAGGAAGCGCGAGGGGGGGGGGAAATGAGCGCGATTGATTGAAATGAACGGCGAGGTTCAAATGTCTACCTCTTGGAGAAGACCACGACATCGTGCTCGGCGATGACCTTCTTGATGAAGTCGGCCGAGGAGAGTTTGGCGTCATCGGCATGGGCAGCGTCGTTGTGCTCGCCATTCCTGTAATGGGGCTCTTGGTTCTTCTTCTTGGCAGCCGCGGCCATGCTCACCAGCAGGCCCAGCACCAAGCAGGTGGCCAGCATCGCGACAAATACCTTCATGTTGCCGCTCATCTTCTTCTTCTGATCTTCGGTTCGTGTCCTGAAGGTCTCCAGCGCGAGTGCAACACAAGGTCAATAAAAAAGAAATACATTTTCTTCTTTCCTTTCTTCACTACTGTAAATTTCCGAAGTTAAATTACTGGCGGAACTGTAACTGTTGCACATCAAAGACTATTGAGTTCTTATGAGGTGATGGGAGGGCATGGAGTTCTCTGTGGAGCGCCAGACCAGGTCAGTTGAGCAGGTCGTAGATGTCCGAACGAGTGCCACCAGAAGTCGATTGGCGCGCCTCGGCCACCATCTGCTGCCTGTCGCTCTTCTGCTGCTTCTTCTTGGCAAAGTTGCGGCTGTACCTCAACCCACACGCGTTGCACAGCCTTGAAGCAAGAGAAGAGATGAAGTTCAAGTTTAGATGTTGCCAACAAACGCTAAAAAGTGGTGTAGGGTGTGGTGTGCGTACATGGCCTTGTCGAAGGGGCCGCGCCGCCACTGCGAGGACTCGGTCGTGCCGCAGTGGGCGCACACCTTGTGACTGCGGCTGCGCGGCCGGCGCTCGACGCTCAGGAGGAGCATCAGCTGCTGCTCCTCCTCGTTGAGCCGAGTGCTGGTGTGGGTGTGGGTGTGGAGTGACCGCTGCTGGCCGGGCGTGGGCGAAGGTGATGGCGACGACATGGGCGACGACGGGTACGACGGCGTGGTAGAGCTGTAGCCGAAGCCGAGCGATGAAGGCGAGGTCGCGGTAGTGGTGGCAGTGGTGGGGTAGTGGTAGCTCGACGAAGCTGACGAGGTGGTAGTGCCCAAGTCGTGCGTGGGCGATGAGCTGCGGCCGCCGTGGAGGGCGAGAAAGGCGCGCCTGAGCTGCTGGGTGGTGGTGGTGAACTGGTCCCACTCGTCCCTTGAGAGCGGCGCCCTCTGGGCCTTCGACGCAAGAAAGCTGAGGCTCGAAGCCGACGCTGCTATCTGTGGTGGGTAACTGTTAAAAAAAAGGAGAAAAACAATGAAAGCGACAAAGAGTGAAGAGCAGGTGGGTACGTACGTCGTAGTAGGAGGCCTGGGAGGAGGCGGCCTGGGCGAGGTCGGCCATGGTCGGGGCCAGAGGAGCGTCGAAGTGGAGGGCGCGAACGGTGGGCAGTGGACGCCGGTCCGTGGGCGTGGTGGCCTCAAAGAAGGCGCTTGCGCTGTGGTGGGTGGAGGAAGGAACTGGCTGCGAAGAGTTCATGGTTGACTCAGATGTAGTTCTGCTGTTGTGGTTGAGGCGGCGTTGGTGTGGTCGGTGGTGCAGGGAGGAGAAGATACAAAGACGAAGACTGGCGCAGGCCTTTTTGTAGTGGTCGGTGGTGCCTCTGCTGTGTCTCGGAGGGTGGTCGTGAACTGCGCTCGAATGGTTATGGTCAAATGGGGGCTGTGGGCGGTCGAGGTGGATTGTGATGAAACTGATGTGCGGCCGATGGGAAGAGACGTGTTGCAGGTAGACCCCCCCAGTACCAAAGGAGGTAATTGTTTAGGTACCTTTTTTAAGCTCGACGAATGGTCACAGGTTGTGGCTCTTGCGGTTTGCTTGGGACATCGACATCCCCAGGCCACACACAGCCAAGGCCCCGAAAACTGGAGGGGACCAGGTGAAAAGTTTGGGTGGTCGCACACTGGTTGACTGGCACGAACGTTTTAGGTCCGGCCGACCAGCAACGCGCCCGGCTGTTGGCTCTGGGATTGGCTTATCAAGATGGTGGGCCACGCGCAAGAGGTGCGCATAGACGTGTGTGGGATGATATCGCCTGGAGATGAGGTAGATGTCGTCGCGTCGCGACTGTGACGTTGTCGACACTGATCTCATTCCTATCGTGATTGGAATGTCACAGGCCCAGAAATAGATCATCATGTACACAGATCAGCCAGGAATGCAGAACGAGTCTCCGGCAGTCCACCTCTAGCCGTAACGTGACACTACACTATTTGCTCGTCCACCCCCTCCATTAACGTCAGAAGTCCATTGACCCTCCACCGGGCTGTGGTCGGGTGAACCGCTTGCGCGTGTCCTTGGCCTTGAACCGGTAGGGCGTGGGTGCGGAGGAGGGTGACGAGGAAGATGCTGCATCGTCCGGCAGGGCAGGCGTTGCCGAGTCGGCGAGGTTGTCTCTCACAACGGACCGTTGTACCGTACCCGCAGGTGCGGTCGTACCAACAGGGGCTGCTGTGGGTGGGAACGACTGCTCGACCACGTGTGTGGCCGCCTTCTTCTGCTTGACCCGCTGTGTTGGGCCAATTATGAGCCAAATTAGTCAACTCTCTCGAAATAAACACACACACACCACGCACACCACACACACACACACACCTCTTCCCGCACTCGGATGGCCTTGTCGAGCCGACCGGCGGCGAGGAAATGGCACACGAGGATCGCTGCCATGCACGCCAAGGAGAGGCCGAGCGCATCGTAGAGGCTCACCGACGCGGGCGCGTAGTAGAGGCTCAGAGTGAGGACCGTGGGCGACGCCGGGACCGCCGAGTCGATGACCCTCGCTTCGGCGGTGTCGTCGGCGTGGGCGGCGAGGAGGGTCAACTGGGGCGACGGCAGGGTGAGCCGGAGGCTGTCGTTCAGCGGGCTCAGCGACACGGGCTGACCACGATGAGGAAAGTCGAACCAGGGTTGATGAGCATTACACTGCCCATCAAGCAAGCCAGCGAGAGTGTGTGCGGGGTACCTGGATGAGTAGAGTGTAGTTCCACGAGTCGCGCTTCATGATTGACGACGATGACGCGTCCGTCTTGAAGGTGATCGGGTACTCGCGATGTACGTAGCTCTGCGATGTTGGTTAAATGGCGTCCGCATCACCCGCCACCAGAGACCGCCGGCGTACGTTGTTGTGGGTGGTGGCGAACAGGTGGGCAAGCTCGTTGGGCACGCGCAGGGGCAGCCCAGGGACACTGTCCGTCACTCGCACCACATAGCGGCATTCCTCCCCCGTTCCACCCTCGTCCTGCAGACAACATTAGATTATTGGAATTATTATTTTTTAAAAATAACAAATAAATTAGAGGGAGGAGTACGCACGTGTCGGGAGACGTCCAGCTGCCACTCGACAACCACGGTCACACTAGACACCCGATTATTGATTCATTCATAATTTAAAAATAAAAATCAAATTCAACTTCCGGAAGCAAGGAGGGTGCACCGTCTGTCTCGGCTGTCGAGATGCGTGGCCGGCAGCAGGTGCTTTTGTACCGTGAGGCATGGTCGCAACGAGTGGCAGTCATGATGTTGCGAGCCAGATGGTGATGCCGGCGTAATCTGCTCCGCCTCGCACAGCGCGATCGAGAGGAACAACAAAGACCCCACCACGAGGCACGCAAGCCAGTGCCGGTGTCTTCTTCGTTCGTTTGTCATCTCTTCTGATCTTTCTTTTCTTTTCTTTTCTTTTTATTATTGAGAATTTCTTTGTTGTGTGCGGCGTGTTGAGTGTGTTGGAGAGTACTTACTAAAGAAGACGAGAAGAAGTGGCGGAGGAGAAGAGCTTGCATCTTCTCTTTCAAGGAGACTTGGTCGGTGACTTCTGCATCAACGGCTGGAGGACGGGTGGTCGCTCTTCCTCCTCGGGCGTCTTGTCGGCATCCTTGATCTTGTCCAGCTGCGCCGAGACGGCGTCGAGGATGTTGGCCACGAGCAGGTTGAGCGTGAGCAAGTTGGTGAAGAACCAGAACAGGAAGAAGTAGAGGCGGCTCGCCTCGTTGGTGACCAACGCAATGGCGTCCATGTAGATGAACCTATCGAACGCAAACACGCAGGTATTATGATCAGTCACTGAACAACAACACGGTGGTAAAGCAGCAGCACGAGAGGGGCGACCTACCAGTTATTGATCACCATCAAATCGAACAGGGTCACGCACGTGGACCCAAAGTCGTTGAAGTTGTTGGGGAAGTAGCTGGCGGCTTCGAAGGCGGTTCCGTGCAGCGCGGGATTCTCGGTGTTGAGGAGACCGCCGAACACACGGATGCCTATGAGACCGAAGATGTAGTACTGGAACACAAGCACACCTGATGATGATGATGATGATGATGATAGATGATGATAGATGATGATAGATGATGATAGATGATGATAGATGATGATGATAGATGACGACGACATACGCGAACAGTAAGCCAACCATACTTCCCAAATACGAGTCCGACGCACAGCGAGGGGTAGTTGGTGGTGGCTCACGTACCGAGGAGTGCGGTGAAAATGGGGATGAGCTGGACGAGGGTGGCGAAGATCATCCTGAACTTCTTCATGCGCGAGAACAGACGAAGGAGCCTCAACGAACGGAAGATCATGATGACTCTGACCAGCTTGTTGCCTACAAGGTCGAGCTCGGAGAGGACCGAAGCAATCTAGGAGCATAAAAAAAACATGAACGTTAGAGACATCACGTCCGTATGCGGGTGTTGCGTGTAGATTTGGGCGGGCAAGACGAAGGTGGGCACATACCAGGCCGACAATGGTGATGGTGGCGTCGAACAGGTTCTTGTAGTTGGAAGCATAACCTCGCAGGCCCATAAGGAACATCTTGACCACCATCTCGCACGTCCACAGGAGCGTGAAGAACCACTCGCCTAGGTCCCAGTGCCACTGCGTGGACAGGATTTTGGGTGAGTCAAATATGAACACATGTTAAAGAATTTATGTTCCATTTTATCACATTTTTTGTACAAAATAAAATAGGAAATATTAATAATAAGTTAAAAAATAAAATAAAGGAGGTACCTGAACGGATCGATCAAATCGTCCCGTGACGAAGAAGTAGGTTTGGAACGCGAAGAAGATGCCGTTAAGGACGAGTAGCACATCGATCGAGTACTCAAAGTACGGGTGGAAGGTCACGGCACTGTGTGCGTGGGACGTCAGTAAGGCTATCACGCGGCAGAACTGTGTGTACGCGTGCAGCGTACCGCAGCGAGCGACAGAAGGGACTGCTCATCATAATCCTGTTGTGCAGATCGCTGAGGTAGCGGAACAACCTCTTGCCAGCCGAGAGTTGAGCCACCTCCTCTTCGTTGACGATCGGATCAATGTCGATTTCGCCTGGAAAGTGGAGAAGACTCGACAGTCAGAAACAGCCTCTGGGACAGAAGAGGGATCATCCGCAAGTGTGCCTGTTTCGTTGTGCGCGATCTGAAGGTGCAGCACGGTGGTGAACAACTGAACGAACTCGTAGTCATCCAGCTTGCCGTCGTGGTTGGCGTCGAGCTGGGAAAGTGGGGTGGGCACAAGACTGGGTTGAGATTGAGGACAAGTGCACACAAGACACAGCACGGGAGGCAGCACGGGCGTACCTCAGCAATCATTTTCTGGCTGTGCTCGTCCACGACCATCGAGATCTTCGAGCTGTATTTGCCCAGCTCAACGAGCAGCACTGCCACCCAGTCCAACTCGACCAACCCTTCCTTGTCTGTGCATTGCGAATTCACAGATCAGAAAGCGGCATGAGAGCGAGCGAGCGCGAGAGGCCAGCTTGGCGAGAAAGGTTACCGCGATCCAGCTGATGGAAGGCAGACAGCAGGGCCTTCTTCCTCCTCAGCACGTAGTACTGCTCGGTCTGCTCGAGGATCGTCTTGTAGTTGTTGTACACCGTAGAGAAGATGAACGGAAGAATGAAGTACAGGCCTGCGGCGGTGTGGAGGCGTAAGCAAACAAGAGAGAGAGACATCGATGTGTAGCTATGCCAAAACGGTTGGAGAACGTGCGCGTACCGATAACGAGGTAAACGATGAAGAAGATGACGGAACTGCGGTGCTGGTAGTAGACTGGCATCCTCACATCGGGCGAATTGGCCGTCGTCAGGAAGATGAACATGTTGAGGAGAGCGTTGCCGAAGGAATCGAAGTAGTCGCGGCCCAGATTCTCTTGATCGAAGAAGAGAATCAATCCGAACCAGGCGGCCGTGATGAGAAGTAGCAGCAGCAGCACCAGCAGCTCGAAGATGATGGGAATGATCTTGATGATCTGCCACAGGGTAGCGCGAATCGAGGAGAACATCATCACGAAGAGGAATGGCCGGAAGAAGGGCGAGAAGAAGCAGGAATCGCGGTAGATGGGCACAAGGAGGGCGAACGCAGTGTCGGCGATCGAGACGACGATGAGGATGGCCTGCGCGAGGTAGGTGCCTTCCGAGAAGCCGGCCTTGCCCATAATCTTGTATCGGAGGAAAAGATCGAAGAGGAGCCACCCGAGACATGCGAGCTGCACGCTGTCGGTGAACACGAAGGGAAGCATGGGGAGGCCCGAGTTCATGTAGACGTGGCTCTTCGCGCATTCGTCGGGGTACGTGTGGCACCACCACGGGCGCTCGACGAAGGTGAAGAGCATGATGAGAGCGATCGCGAGCATCCGAACGTGGGCGAAATTCGTGTAGATGATTTTGACGTAGGGCGGTAGCATCACGTTGGGGACTTCGACGTTCATCGCGTAGGCGATCTTCTTGGCGGCGATTTGGATGTCCTTCGTTCGATCGACATCCATGGACTCCTTGAGCGTGCTGTAGTCCTTCTGGAGCGAGGCGAGAAGCAGGCTACTCTCGGTGCTGCTGCTCCCCATCTTGGTGGGCTGGTTGTTTTCACGCGTTGTAGAGATGGGTGAAGATGGAGCGCTGTTCTATACTCCCCCCGCCTCGATTTCTGTTGAGGATGTAAACTCTAGTACGCCGTTGCCACTCCAGGACTGATTCCTTCGCCAGTCGCTGCCCGCTAGTGATTACCACCGTCTGTCGTTCGGGTTCAGATGTGCGCCTCCACTCCTCTCTCGATTTCGCGGCGACAACCGGATTGCTGGTGTTAATCAAAAACGCTCTTCGCCTTCTTCTCCGTCGTTCCCACTTCTATTTCCTACTGGTCCTTTGAATTCTGGTTGGTGGCGAGCTTTCAAAAAATCAGACAATTGGCAGGCCGGAGGGCTCTAATTGCTTTTCTTGTTTTCTTGTTGGCCTCCCACAACCAGATGATCGTTGCTCGGGCACGGGAGAACGCAAGCAATGCCAGAGCTGGTTAGGATGGTCTTTTAATTAGTTGTAGTGACAATTCCCGGCGGTGTTGGCCGAAGAAGCCAACCCGTCAGCCAACGGGTAGGTTCGGCAGTTTCCGTAAGTGTGCAATGATGAAGGTGGCACTTGCATGCGTTGTGTTGGTGGCACTGGTCGCCCTGCACGCGAATGCCGTCTTTCTGCCGAGGCCTCTTGATGTCGAGCACCGCGCAAAGAACGTGCCCTCTCTGCCTCTCCTGGCGCAGGTAAGGTCCCCCTTCCCTAATGCTGATTTAATCAATCAAAGAATAACTGCAGGCTAATCCGCGCCTGTACAGACCGCCGCGCGTCAGCACATGGTCGTGGGGGTAACCGCCTCGAATATGCGATCCACCCCAGGAGAAATGAAGTTCGTCTCCTACGAGATCGACGAAAACCAGCTCTCTCAGGCCCTCTTCTACGAGTCCATCTACATGCTGGTAGCGCTTCTAGCCCTCTCTTTCGTCGCTTTCGTTCTTTCTCTTTGCTGCTTTCTTTCTTTGCCGTTTTTTCCACTGCTGCCCGCCGACTCACCGGCTCGTCGTGCCAGGAAGGAACCGAGTCTGATGGCTGGGTGATGACGGAAGCACCGATGCAACCGAACCTGGCCAGTGGCGAGTGGGTGCCCTACCGTTCCTACATGAACAAGAGCCACCTCGTCCCCGTCGCCTCCTTCCCGTCCTACAACCTGGTCGTGGTCAACAACGTACGCTTATTCTCGTGTCTTCCAAGGCCACGATGCATGCTTTGCTCATCGTGTGCCTCTCGTTGCGAGCTCAGGTCGCCGAGGTCTATGGACGCGAGTGTCATCTGACCGGCTGCCTGCCCAGCGACGTGAAGCTCGAGGTGGTGGTCGCCACCTTCTTGGAAGGCATCTCGCACTCCGATGGCTGGTGGAAGATCAGAATGCCCTTCGGCGTATGCCTTTCTATTCGCCTCAATTGATGTCCCGCTTGTGGTGCTGACCCACGGGCACACTCTCTGTCACACAGACCAAGTCCTTCGGCTGGATCAGGGTGAGAGACGTACACCCCCTGTCCGAGCAGCCCAAGGGCAAGGAGCTCCGCCACGCGCTCGTGGAGCGGAGCAAGCAGCTTCTCGGCTGGTACTACTTCTGGGGCGGTCGCTCGGCTTTCGTCAAGGACCTGTGGAACGATAAGGTGATCCTCACCGGCGTCGACTGCTCCGGTATGCGCCCAAGGGCTTCGCGCAATGTCTCGGTCTAAGATTGGGCGACGACTTACACCAGTTGCGCGATGGTGCAGGCTTGGTGGGCACGATCTACAAGTCCCACGGCATCCTGCTTCCTCGCGATGCTGACCCCATGTTCCGCAAGAGCCAAAACGTGACCGACCCGACGGCCCTCCTGCCCGGCGACCTCTTCTTCTTCGCCCCCACCGGCCGCCCAACCGTCCACGTCACCCACGTGATGATGTACATCGGAGGCGACAAGCTGGTCGAGAGCTCCGTCCCCTCGTTCGAGAACAACTCCACCCGCATCGTCACTCTGCGCGAGAGGTTTGGCTATGACCTCCAGGTACTCCGGCATCTTGCCCACTCTACTCACTCTACTCACCACCCAATCAATACCCACTTCAACGTTACAGGAGCTCAAGTGGGGTCTCTCCGCCAAGACGAACGGCGACCTCATCTTCTGGGGCCGCATGCTGGAGGACAGCAAGATCTAATGTTTTTTGGCTTTCCCGCCAAAAAGTTTCCCGCCAAAACGGCTGTGCCTGGAAAAACGCAGAACAAGAAAGGTTGCAGACCACCAGATTTCCACTCCATTTATTACAATCCACTCAGCAATACAAAATCCTGCTGAAGCACCAGATAAGAAGAAGAACATGAGGAAAAGAAAAATCAATCCGGCATTCCTTGCGAGCCACGCTGCCGAGGATCCGCTGGTGGCGGCACCGCCGTCGGGTCCAAGGGGCGTCGAGATGCAACTCAAGCAGGCGCAAAGGACTGGGCACATGCGACTCTGCAACAGCGGACTGCGGGCTATCCCCACCAACGCGTTCCTCATCCACGAGGTGCGGTTCGGCGAGGACGACCAGTGGTGGGACCGCACCCCCATCTCTCGCATCGACCTCACCAACAACGAAATCGAGGAAATCTCGACTGCCAATCTTGCCCAAGATGATGAAGCCAAGCCGGCGAAGCGGAAGCACCTCCAGGAACTGTGGACCGAAGTCAACACCTTCTGTGCCGCGCAGAACAAGATCGTCTCCATCTCGCCCCAGCTGTTCCAACTCGAAAATCTCACAACCCTCGACCTCAGGTAGCGCCTTAGCCCAACCCACTTCCCCCAATCATGCCTGGCCTGGCACTTACACTTCTTCCCACCTTCAAGCCACAACAAGTTGGCGCGACTGCCAGACGAAGTCGCCAATGCCCGACAGCTGGTGCATCTGCTGCTACAGAACAACGAGCTGTGCTGCTTGCCCGAGGCGCTTGGCTGTCTGTCTGCGCTCAGCAACCTCAACCTCGCCCACAACCGACTGGTGGAGCTGCCCGCCACCATGGCCCTGCTTCCTCGAATCGAGGTGCTGGACCTCTCTGCCAACAAGCTGACGTCGCTGCCTGCGGAAGCGAGGAACGGTTGGGGCACGCTTCGCGAGCTGGAGCTGCGCGGCAACCAGCTCGCCGGCCTGCCCGCCGTCACCTCCAAAGACCCCACCGCCGGCTGGCCTCTTCTGGTACTAGCTCTCCTGCTTTTCGCTCGTAGGCCCGCCGGTCGACTAACTCATCATCATCACCACCACGTGCAGGCACGTCTCGATCTGTCGCAGAACCGGCTGCGCGAGCTGCCGTCGGACGTGGCCCTGTTCTACTCTCTGCGAGAGCTCTACGCGGCGAAGAATCTCCTGCAGTCGCTGCCAGCCGAGCTCAACACGCTCACCTCGCTGGCCATACTCGACCTCAAGGAGAACAGCCTGACCCACTTCAAGAAGGAGCACTTTAGCAACCTTGCGCTGCAGATCCTCGACCTGTCCCTGAACAGCCTGAAGACCATCCCGCCGGCCCTGGGCCGCATGACTACACTCAAGGTACCCTCTGCACCAACCGCCCTTGTTCGGAGGGACTCGTAGGGACTCACTGTCACACGAACGTCGCACAGACGCTGGCCATCGCCGGCAACCCGCTGATGGGCTTCAAGCGCGGAGTGATCGACCAGGGCACCGACGAGATCCTCAAATACCTCAGGTTCCGCCTCCCGCCAGACGACCAAGGTGCGCACCTGCTCGCCCGACCCAGAGCACCCGACTCACCCAACTCTAACACACGCCGCTGTGTGCACACAGCAAAGCAAACGGCGACGAGCTTTGCGTTGATCGTCGAGTCGGCCTACAATGAAAGGAGCCACTCGCTGGACCTCTCGGCCAAATTCTCGTCACCGTCGGTTCCCGACATCGTGTGGCACAAGGGCGAGGCGGGGGTGGAGAACCTGAGCCTGGCCAAGAACGGCCTCACCGCTCTGCCCGCGCAGATCGAGGCCTTTGGCCGGCTGCGCAGGCTCGACCTCGGCGACAACAAGCTGACCGCGCTCCCGCTCGAGCTGGGCAAGTGCGTGCTGCTCGAAGAGCTGATCCTGCAGAAGAACAGTCTCACCGAGATACCCGCCGTCGTCTTTGAGCTCACCCGCCTCACCGAGCTCGACATCAGGTACCACTACTACCACTCGCAACGCCCACTGCTTGGCTTGGCTGAGCGTGGGCCTGACCTGTCGCGTGTGGGGCAGCTTCAACCGGATCACTGTCCTGCCGCCCGGCATCGCACAACTGGTCTCCCTCACAATCCTACGCGCAAGGCAGAACTCCATCCGAGCCCTCCCCTCTGGTACGCCAGCAGTGTAGTGACTCGCGCGTGTGGCGTGGTGTGGCGTGTGGCACGCTGCTAACAGCTGGTGCACGTCTACTGCAGAGCTGTACATGCTGCCCAAGCTCGACGTGCTGGATGTCTTCTTCAACAAGATCGAGACCCTCGATGTGGAGCTCACTAAGCTGACCTCCCTCCGAGCGCTCGACCTTGGCTCCAACGACATCGTCACCGTTCCGCCTCAGCTCGGCCTCATGACCTCCCTCCGGTACACTCCACTCCTCCACCCACGTCGGCCTCATGTCCACTCTAATCTCATCACCATCTCCCTCTCATCGTCTTGGATCAGGAGCCTCAACCTGGAGGGGAACCGCATCCGCGCGATCCGACCAGCGATCCTGCAACAGGGCACATCGTCTCTGCTCGAATATCTTCGAAATCGCATCCCCACCACGACGACCAACTGACATCTTGTTGTTGCCTCATCCTCATCAACAAGAAGATCGCAGGAAGAATGTAATTAGAATAAGAGTGTTTCTTGCTAAGTAGCAGCTCATCGCCACGTTCCTCTTCATTTCGTGATGATGAAGCGGACTTCCTGCTTCAGTCCCTG